TTTTTGATTTTGGGGTGAACTGTCCCTTTAAATTTGCAGTCATGCATGTGTTATTTGGAGCCAATTATAGGGAATTTAAGGACAAAATTCAGGCTGATGTGTATACTGTAGTTAAATTTTTACTCTTACAGTCTCAGCACAGTCACAATATATATTTGTTTTAATATTCTAATTTTTTATATCTTACTATCTTACGTACTAGTGGTAAACATGGTAGCATAATGCACATTCTATTTTTCTTTTAATGCACATTTCATTTCTATTTTATTGCTTCATATTTACATACTTTTATTTCATACTCTTATTCTTACTTCTTACAGTTCTCTATTTTTTACATTGGAGCAACTGTAACAAATCATAATTTCCCCTCAGGGATCAATGAAGTATTTCTGATATTAAATTAGCTAGTGTTTGTACATTTCCTCAACAACAAAAATCAAAACCAGAATATATTCCACTCCACTTTCCATTAATTTAAAAAACAACAACAACAACAATTCTCCATATATGTTGAATTGCGTGCTGAACTGTAGACAATTTTTTACATGTGTGCATGCGTGATACTTCTAATTAACTGGAAGTGTGGCAACTGTACAGTGTCTCAATTTCTCTATAACTAGTTCCCTGTGATATAATTCTTCCTGGGAAACTTCCTATGAATGTTGTTATGTATCCGTCCTTTATTGCAGACTCTATTTTTATTATTTAACTTGTTTGTCTTTCTTCTGTTTTTTTTTAAAATGCTGTTTATAATTCTTGATGACATTGCTGCTACTTATTAGTTTTTATGAACTCTTTTTCATCACTTTATTGCAATTATATATTTGTATCCTTCTAGCCAATTCAATGTGAACTCTGGGCAATGATGTAAAAGAGCTTGCTGCTCAGTCAGTTTTCCCTGAATTAACAATAGTTGATTGATTGATTGATTGATTGATTGATTGGTACATGTGAGTTACTTTCTATAGAATTAGAGGAAACCCTGGGACCTGTAAAATACAGTAAAGCATTATTAGAGACAGTAATCAGCAGATCAATGGGTAGATATTAGTACAAACATTAACAGGTAGTAGTAGTTTAATTCTCTTTGTGGCTCAGTTAGTCAAGAGTATAAGTATGTGAAAGTTATTGGTACTGGCAAAGTCACTCTTATGTGCTTTATCCAAAAAAAAAAAAAAAAAAGGCTGGATGTTTGCAAAAGTAGGTGTATGCCAGTAAAGCTGCAACAAGCCAAGCTCTCCTTGCACACAGGTCTTACAATAAGTCATCAGGAAATAAAGAAGAAGGAGTAACTGAAGGAGGAAGAAGGAAACAAAACTGTAAATACTCAGATCACAGTTGAACCCAGTCTGCATGAACTCCCCAGTAAAAGCACTGACATGTAAATATTTTAACTGGAATCAGTCCCCCAACAGTTGCACTGATAAATAAAAACACACTTCTTACAAATAGCTGTATCGATCCAGTGAGAGTGGTCAGTATTAATCAGCATCACCTCCTCCCGGACACCGTATCTAACCAAGCGATCACATTATACCAGCTTATATACTAACACTATCTCCACAAACCTAAATCACATCAGATCACACCGAGCACTCACCGACTGCAGCAGCTCTACCTCCTCTCTGCCTCTCATCAGTCCATTATTATAAGACCAGACCAGGAAGCGGTGTCCTCTTACATTTGGATGACAAGAATGTGTCGTAACCAACGCATGCAGACGAAAGTGCTGCCTTCAAGTGCTTCTCGTAAGCTCGTATTTCCGCGTTCCACATTCCCAACAGGGTTTGTTGGCCAAATCTGTGACGCACCGGGAAAACTTTCCGAGGAGATAACAGACGTATGTGATCATAAAAATACATCTGAAGACACAACCCACCACCCCTGGAGAACGGATAACTTATTTATCTCCCTCACCTCATACTGACATAGGGAAATGTCCAATTCAAGAGTAACTTTTGTCAAGCACATTTATCTGTGTCACTTTATAGTAGTAATAAAATTAGTTGTAACAATATAATAATAATAATAATAATAATAATAATAATAATAATAATAATGATAATAATAATAATGGGATTATCTAAATAAACTATGTGATAAAATGAGTAGTTGGTGGCTGTCCACTATTCAAAACCAGTGGCGCCCCCAGAAAGTTTTCTTGGGGTGGCCAGATGGGGCTGCTGAGAATCTTGGGGTGGCACCAGGGTGACACCCCAAAACCCAAAGTCATAACTGAATTTCAGGAATCAAATTACACTAAAGTATGAAGTCATCCAGGGATGACATTTGTCTGTAGGCTGACATGGTAGTTAGCTTCCCTCTGGTTCCCTTGTGAAAACGCCTACTAGGGTTGCAGTGGTATGAGATTTTCATGGTACGATAGCCGTCTCAGAAACTATCGTTGTTTAACAGCATCATGGTATAACAAAATTATTGTTTTCTGTCAGAAGACCAATTAAGCAGTGGTTCCCAACTGGTGGGTCATGGTCCAAAAGTGAGTCATTTGACCTGACAGGGTTAGAACCCTGGGGTGGGGGAGCCATTTTGTGCGTAGTTTGCATATTCTCCCCGTGTCAGCGTGGGCTTCCTCCCACAGTCCAAAGACATGCAGGTTCATTTGTGACTCTAAATTGGCCGTAGGTGTGAATGTGAGCATGAGTGGTTGTCTGTTTCTATGTGTCAGCCCTGGCGACTTGTCCAGGGTGTACCCCGCCTCTCGCCCGATGTCAGCTGGGATAGGCTCCAGCCCCCCTGTGACCCCTAAGAGGATAAGTAATTACAGAAGGAAAAAAAAAAAAAGACCATGTCAACTTTGTAAAAAAAACACACTTTATATTGAAGTACAGTGAATATCCTGCACAAAGCTGTTTTAGTTTGAAGTGCCATTTCCTGCTGTAGAGTGAGTGACGGACAGCTCCTTGACAAAGACTGAAAAGTAGCTCGACGACATGTCCAAACACAAGTTTGACACTGAATATATTAAACTGTGTGGACCTTAAACTGATGACTTAGGAGAAATCATGACCCCATGGCTGGACCAGTTGCGAACCACTGCCTTAAAGGAATTAAACAAACATTTTATTACTATATTTTAATGATGAAACCATTCTTAATAGAAATGTGTGAAAATAACTAAAAAAAAGTTGAGATTCTTCAGTCCAGTTGCTTTTTTTTGAAAAATATTGTAGATAAGAAAATGTACATGGTATGATAACTGTCAATTTTAGTATACCTTGAAACCTGTATACCGTTGCAACCCTAATGCTTACAGGATTTTCCCAGTGGATTTTGGTTTGTGGACTGCCGTTTCGAAGCCTTGGGTTTGGCATTTAGGCCGTCGCCATCTTGGTTTTTTGAAGCCAGAAGTGGTCATATCTGGACGAGAGGTTGGAGCTGTGGAGAAGCGAGAGGTGGATCTGACTCATAGACTGCAGCTATGTCTTGCAGACAGCCTGTCACTTAAGCCGCGCCACCCTTACGTTTAACTTTGGATGTTAATAAAATGAAAATGGGTGAGTTATTAGAAATCGCAGACTGATATACTTCGTTTTCTTATTTTTAGTTATTACTAATTATCTGATGTGCACAGACTAATACAGGTACAGTTAACATTTCAAGTCACACAATGATCCTGCTTTAATGTGTTATGTATCTGTGTGTACACATTATTAAAACAAATATGCTCTTGTACAACAGTAATGTCAGATCTGTTCTGTTGTACGGTTCAGAGAGTTGGTGAGTAGTCAAAACAGTCATGATGAGAGTGGAAGCCTTTCACACTGGATGCCTCAGACAAATATGGCAGATATTCTGGTCCAACAAAATCTCCAACCTTCAACTGTACAAGAAAACAGGTCGCTGGATCGTGTTGGGAATAGAATGATTTTATGTGTTTTACTATAAGTTGTGTTTCACTATATAAGTTTTAGATGTGTGAACAATGAGAATACTGAGATGATTTCAGCTGATCTGAATGTGTTTGCTTTGCAGAAGTGGAGAAGTACAGGAGAGGAAGAGACATGAAGTCTGAGGAGCACATACCGCAATGCTTAGATAATTAGTTTCATATATGGTAAAAAGAATAGAAAGTGATATACAGATAGTAAGGTACAGCACGTGTAGGGAGTTGTGTTGTTCTCTTGTCTTTCAAAACAGGAACCACGCCCCCACCGCCAGCGGGAAGGAGTCAGATTAACACGAGGCAGGGGCGTGGTGTGGTGAAGGAGGAAGTGGAACTGCCAATGAGAAGAGGACAACGCCTTGCGTGCACAATGACACTCTGTTACGCTCAAATATACTGGGTCAGGGAAAGGACAGGAGGTCAGACTTCGTGAACTGACACACCTTTGTTGTTCGTCAGGGAAGTGAAGTTGAGACCCAGAGCTCTGTAATTTTATTCCTTTACTGCTTAATAAACTACATTAACTGAGACCGAATATCTTCTCCTATTGCTTCATTAAAGAACACGCAGGACTGAGCTCACACATAGCACATTGGAGAGTAGGATGAGACTCTTAGTCCAACAATCGTCACCAAGGAAATCACATTCAGATGTGAACCCAGAAGGCCCAAAACCACCTGGCGCAGAACGGTGACACTGGAGCTGGAAAAGATGAACCTGTCCTGGGGAGAGGCGCAACATGCTGCCAAGGATCAACAGCAATGGAAAGAGCTCACTGAAGCCTTATGTCCCATAGGGGAGTTTATTGTTCTTCACATAGGCTGGTTGTCCTTTTCCAGAAATAGAGCATACACATCTTTAATTTGACAGAGTACATTGTGTGTTAGAAAAACTAATTTAACTGTTTAAGACTTGTCATTCAGATATCTGGAGATGGTAGTTCAAGGGACCCCTTTGAAAACTGCCATATCAGTTGGTCCCTCACAAAAATGTAGTCTGCATTTGGATCACTATTTAGCCCCCTTTCCGACAGCTATGTCACAGCATGTCCTTGGCGGTGCCACTGTCAGTGACACAAGAAAAGACACATCAGGTGTGGCAATTACACATTCAGTTTATTTACAAAAAACGTAAATGATATCGTGTGACAAAAAAGTTAGAAAGTAAACAGAAATTATTATTTACATGGAATATAAAACAAAAATACTGTTACTTCTGTACTGCTGAAATGACTTAACTCTCTCACTGGTAAGGTACACAGCAATCGATGTTCAAATACCCAGCAACACTTGAAGGCAGCACAAGGATTTCCACATTCAGTGGTATTGAGGTTGGTCCAGAGTCTGGACATTGAACATGGATGTTAGGTACCAGTTTAAACGTAATCATTACAGTTCACAGTGATTGTTTTCATGTTTTACAGTACTAATGATTCATGTCTCCATTCACATAGACTGCAGGATATCCATTAGTGTGATTACACTAAACAAATCAAAATAAAGTCTTAATAAACATGTCACACTTTATACAGTCACCATCCTGGCTCTTAAATGTTTTCTTTTGCTAAACCGCACAAATTAAATCCTACGCATAACAGCTGTACCATAAAAACATCTTTATTATAAAAGGTTTAAAATCTACAAAACATGAAAAATTCATTTGTAACCAGGTTGTTTAGAAATGCACATTACAGTAAGAAGATAGGGGACGGTCCATAAAAACAAAAACTAGCTTCCCACAAAAACTCAACAGTGAGAGCCATCGCTACCGTCCATAACATAAAGAAAAACGTTATATTCTGTGTCGCATGAAGTGACGCTTCAGTTCATAGCTGTTTGTGAGGTTTCGTCCACAAAGCTCACAGGTGAAATGTTTCTCGTCTGTTACTGCTGGGCACAGGACTTCAGGAGCTTCATCTGTGACTGTGGGTGCACCTTAGACATAAAAGAAGTTAATTTAGGTTGGTGTCACATGCTGTTTCCCAAAACTAATCCCATGATTCCTCCCCCTCATCAACAAAAAATACTGAAAATTCCCATCACAATTTCCAGGAGGCTGATATGGCATCTCCGAACTGTTTGTTTTTGGAGTTTAATAGTTGAAAGATATCAATTTATTTACCACAAAATTAAACAGAGAAGAGCAGAAAATCTTCACATTTGGAAACACTGGAACCTGCAAATGTATAACATGTTTCCTTAAAAGCTTCAACGACTGATTTTTGAGATCAAGAAGGGGTTTCTAGATTGATTTTGTTTTAACCACGTTCACTCACAAACCACCCTTCATATTTTCTACATGGTGATACCACCAATATTTAGTTGGGTAAGTTCCTGTGGCATCAGACTAGCTGATGTTAGAAGACAATAATCAAATCCCCTAATTGAATTTAAACACATCTAGAGAAAAACATTATTCATAAAGTCGATCTATTTATAAGAATTTAAAAGGACTTGTATTTTCTCTGGCCACTGCCAGAAATATCTGCTTTATGAAACTGACGGCTCGACTGTCAGTGTGTTTATATTGTATTGTATGTAGGAATGCAGCCTATTGTTGTCTAGACCAGTGGTTCCCAACTGGTCCAGCAATGGGGTCCAGATTTCTCCTTAGTCATTAGTTCAAGGTCCACACAGTTTGATACATCCAGCGTCATACTTGCGTTTCGCCATGTCCTCAAGCTAGTTTGTTGTCTCTGCCAAGTAGCTGTCTGTTATTCACTCACTCTACAGCAGGAAACAGCACTTGAAAATAAAAGCTTAGTTGGAAATTCACTGCACTTAAAAAAAATAGCGTTTTTTTTGCAAGTCACTTGCGGTCCATTCAGAATGGACCCACAACCCACATTTGGATCAGGACCCACCAGTTGGGATCCACTGGTCTAGACACAATATCAAAAGGAAAAACAAAAACACAGAACTTATTAGTTTCTATCATTTGAGCCATGTCAGTTAACTCTTGTGCCATTTATTATATGTATCATACAGGCAAGTAGTCATGGTATGGTAGCCAGTGTGTTGATCAATGCAGGGAAAATGTTGAGAAATTGCTTTTTGGGGGGAGATGATGCACCTCGATAAATTCAACTGTAACTTTTTTAATACTCAAGCAGTCGTTTCAGTTGTCTGTACCCGATAGTTCCTGCTCTTCCACTGAGCGAATTTGATGCTTTTCTCTGTTGAAATAACTTTGGATTGCTGGTCAGACAAAACAAGCAATTTGAAGATGCCATCATGGGCTCTAAATAAAAAAAAAAAATCTTCTATTTTTTATTTTAAATTTTTGTGCATTACATGATTAATTGAGCATACATTAAGCTTATTAATTGGTAACTAAAATAAACATAAATTGGAGCCCTATTGTTTACCAAGGAAAATAGTAATGTATTGTAATACGCATCAACCCTAAGCTCTATAGAAAATAGTAAGCCACGGCACAAGATTTTGATATCCCAAGCGTTCTGGTTTCCATTTGTTGTCCGAGTAGTATTGTCAAATCACATTCAAGCAAACTTTGGGTGCCTGCAGGTCAACAATTCGTGTGGAGAGTATCACATTGGCTGAAATGCAATCTCGGAACCCACTGGCTATTGTCTGGCAATGATTTCGATTCTTTTCTAATTCATCTACTTTTGTATCTGTTAATAGAGATTGACCAAAATGTTGTCTGGACCTGTCTGAAGTTGCTAATTTAACTGTAAGAACTGAGCGGCGCACAGAAGAGAAGTATTGTCCCAGATATCAGCTGGCTACGCTGCATGTCCTGAAACATCGCCCGTTGCCCCCGGAAGCTTTACCATCACAACACGACAGCCGATGGGTTCCGATGTTGCATCAACACAGACTGACACGTGTCAAGAGAGACTGCTGGAGTGCAGGCTTAAATAGAAGACAATGGATGCAGTTGTTTTGACGTGTCGCCCCCTTACTGTGCATCAAAACTCTTGTTCTGTCACTTATGGTCAGAATAACTGATTTGGACTCTTTGTGATCAATTTAGTATCTTACCTTTGGGAGCACGTGAATCATCAGCATCCTCCATTCTGTCATCCTCCTCATGTTTCTGATCTGCGCATCGGTTCTCATCGTCTGCAGTGATCGTCTCATCTTCTTTGTCCTGCCTTTGCTCAACATCATCCTCATCTTCCTTTTTGCAACACTCAATAGGCTGCATTTCTTCTTTGAGATTTTCATTCTCAAGCACCGGCATTTCTCCATAGAGGTCTCTTGCCTCCTCACTGTTCTGCACTTGTTCCTTTTTGCAGTTTGTTATTGAGACATCCAAGCTCTCCTCATGGCTTATCTTAAGTTCTGCACACATGAGCGGAGGAGTGTGCGAGTGCCTTTCAACCGATAAACTTTTTCTAGCCCTGCTGTTGTTTGGCTGCATCTGATTTTTCTTCCCAAGGGCTGAAATTTCTTCTATATTAGCTTGATTTTCAGGGTTGTGGGCCAAAGTGATGCTGTCCTTTGTATCCAGGAACATCATCTCACTTTGATCCTTATCTACAACCTGACTCTCAATGTTCTGCTCTTTCCTAACCATTCTGTCATGAGCTGCCTTCTTGTGTTTCTTGACAACGCTGCCATCCTCATCCAGCAGCATGATATTCTGCAGTATATTGTGTTCTACACTAGCCTCAATGTCCAACATTCTTTGCTTAAGTGCCTTTTTATGTAGCTTTTGGGTGGGTGTTTTTTCTGCTGCCTCCTCTTTTTGTTGTGTGAGCAATGTGCTGCTGTCCTCACTATCTCTGCGTTTGGTTTGGGCTGACAAGCACACAACTGCTTGTTCTTGTGGATCCGGCTCACGCTTCTCTTGGACAGCGGTGTTTGGTTTTGTGTCTTCATCCTCATCCTTAAGATCTAACACAGAACTCTCGGCAGGGCTATTTTCATCATCGTCCTGCTCTTGCTTCTGATATTCTTCTTCAGTCTGTGGAGTAATTTTCTCCTTCACGTTGTTTTCTGCCATGTTCTTAGCTCGTGTCTCATCTGGAAGTTCAATACAGTAGGTGGCAGAGTCATCAGTTTCTGCATCCTCACTATCATTGTCGTGGTGCTCCAAGTTAGACGCAGGTTCCTCTTCCTCTTCTGGCATCCTATCGTCTCTTGCCTGTAGCTGATCAAGACTGATCTGACCCACAAGCTCATGATTCCTGACAACCTGTAAACAAAACAGACAAACAGACAGACTAAATTAAGGACCCTTTCACACCCACTTTTTTGTCTGGACTTTTGGACTTTAAGGTTTGTTCCGAACCAAAATGGTGTGAAACCTCCCCTGGACAAAACAGCTGAGCCTTGGTGCAACTGAAAGAGGATGTCTCAGTCTGGATCCAGAGACCTGGTTTGGTTCGTTTCTGATGTGAAAACATTTTTTGGATGGTGTGGATTGTTGGACCAATTACAGAGAGTTTTGACAGGCTATCGTCTAGTGATAAGAGCAGTGTAGCGCCTCAGTGAGTAGGGGGTGGGTAGTTTAGCAACAGAAAAAGTGACTGTGCCCGCACTCAGAGCAGACAAGGCAATCGGAGCAGAGGATAAATTAGCAGTTAAGTTGTCATATGGTGGTAAATGTACAGTGTAAGTTTAAGTTTGTCTGTGAAAAAAGTCACAAAAAATGAGCGGGGGAGCGGGGGAGAGGAGGAGATAACGTTATGAAGAGTCAGTTGGAAAAACTAACAGAAACTTTTCAAGTATTTTCCAAGAAGACGAGACGGGATACGAGAGGACGGGAGAGCCCATCTACAAAACAATCAGTATAGGGAGATACAGCTCGCGTAAGTGGTGATGATGACAGGACATAGGTATCATAAAACTTCAATTAAAAGCCTAGCCCCAATTAAACGCCCAGTCCCTTTAATTAGCCCCCTACAAATTTTGGCAAATAAAGACCTGTCCTTTATAAATGCCTGTCCAAAACATAGGCCTGTTGATTTCAGTGATTTAAGCAGATAGCTTGGGCTATTGATTGACGTTTTATGGTATGTTATGTAAAGTGCGCTTGCATAATTGAAATGTGAAACCAAAACTAACCAGATAAAATGTATATAATGGGAAAAAATGCAAATCTTGTGTCAGAACTTTTTTGTTTTGTCTTTCAGGTGTGAAAAGGCCCAAAGTTTTTCAGCCATAGTTAACAGTGTACCCCCTTGCTTGCTCTGTAGGTAGCACTGTTTAAGTGGGAACTATTGGGATGACATTTGCAGTGTTGAATGCAGCTCATTAACAATCATGAATTGTAGGACTCTAGGTGGATATTTATTTTAACGTCTATTGGAATTAAACGCAACGTTAAGTAGACTAGAATAAAAGAGTGACATAAAGTTCCAGTGTCCCCCATAAGGCCTAAGCACTGGATACAAAGGTGTTCATGGAGTAACTTTTTTTCCCCCTAATGCCTTAATTACGGGGGTTACTGAAAATGTGAAACAAAGATGGTGTCTGTGAATCCCTTTCCTCTTCCTTTCAGTGCATTGAAAATAGATAATCTATAATTCCTTCAGACACAAAGGAATTCCAGTGATGCATTCAGAGGTTCAGCAACCAATCCTCACCTGATGCTTATCACTCAGGTGTGCCTCCAGGTCTCTCAGCTGAGTGCAGTCGAAATAGCACAGCCGACACTTGTAGGGTTTGTTGTCATCATGCTTCGTCATGTGCAAACGCAGGTTTTCAGCACTGCCGCATGTGAAAGTACATTTGTGACAGCGGAAGACGATGCCTTGAAGGTAACGCGACAGCTTCGAGCGGCGCACCTCTATTGGCACAACACGTTCCTCTGCGAACAAAAGAAACAAGAACACTGAACATACTGTGATGGATGAGCATATGAGTGGGTTGGACCAGTGAAATCTGTCCAGCATCCAACCTACCACGGTGCAAGACAATGTGATCGATCATGTTATTCTTGTTCTTGGTCTGGTAGAGGCAGAAAGGGCAGCGGAGGTCTTTATGATGAGTAGGTTCTGACTGGCATGTGGAGTGACCTGTCGCCATGTGCATTTCCAGGGTTTTCCTGATAAAGGCAGGAGGAACAACAGACAAGTGTTTGGAGACAACTTCTGCAGTTAAAAATATCTAAAATGCAAAGTTAATTTTAAGTTTTCAAATTACAAAGAAAAATACTCCTTTTGGTTGTGACTTACTTCGAACCAGTGAAAAAGTCGCAGTCCTTACACTTGACAAACTTCTTTCCATGGCGATTCAGGTAGTGTCGTCGTACACTAGACATATGTCCAGTGTTGAAATTGCAAAACTCACAGTGAAGAAGAGAATTGTCAGGTAACATGGTTTCTTGCCCATTTGCTTTAGACGAGGCATTAGCCTGCGCCATCAAGGTATAGTGGTTTAACTGCCGCTGCACATCTGGGGGCTCTGAGTACTGCGAATCTGTCAAAGTACAATAAATCACAGTCTCTGTAACGCCACCAATGCAAAAAAGTGTGTATTAGATATACATTTTGATAGTCATGATTTATTAAACATAATAGGTATGACTTGCCGTCAGTAATGTCAGGTTCTTCATCAGGTTCAGGCCAATTGTTTGATTCCTCTGATGAAATGTAGGGCTCCTCGTTGGTCCTCTGACCACTCTCGTCTTGGCTGTCAGTCTCAGCATGATTCATGATGACATCTGAGCATTCAGCAGCCATACGAACAGGGAATGAAATATACATACACTTAAAATATCACAGAGCTCTGTGCAGTAAAGATGATTATTGGCATATGAGCTACACTACATGGTAAATTAATAAATTTAGGTGCAGATAACAAAACAAGAGTGGCACAAGTTAAAGACAGTATACAGACATATATACTATTAAATAACAATATGCCTGCGACAGCCCATATTTAACAATCATTGGCTGGATTTTGGTGTTACTAAACCATCCTGATCAAAATCACTTAGCAAAAATGATGCAAGAGAGCTGCAACAGGTTTAATCTACACTCAGCTAACAGTCAGGATGAAACAGTATTGAAATTTCATATCAAATTATAGTGACCACAATGATCAGTATTATCACAGAATTGTTAAAATGTGCTGTTAACTGTGTGGGAACAAGGCAGCGAATCACTCCCATATCTCCTGGGGGAGCCTTTCAGTCACTACTTTTTGGACTAAAATTCATGGCATTCATGAAACGGTTTTCTTGACCAAAATAACCTTTAATTTTGAACTGATGTACCTGATTAGACTGGAGGAACTTGAATGGAGGAAAAGGGATAAATATCTGCTAAGAAAACTATTGGTGGCATGTAAGAAATCCTTAACCAAGGCAGAAAAAAGAAACGCCTAGTATTGATGAATGGATTGACTTGGTTTATAATATCGTGCATTTTGTACAGGTGACTCACCTTCATGTGATTTCATAAAATGACTCCTCCAGAGGCCTATGATGGTCGTTCGATAGGAACATAAACTACACAGGAAAGGCTTTGTAGTTCCACTTTTGTAAATTACGTATTTGTTGATGCTGTTGAAATGATGAAAAAAAACAACTGTCAGATATTATCACAGTTAACTCATCATTAACTTAAAATTCATCTGGGATTCTGGACAACAAAGGACATCAAATTTGTGTATGTTTCATTTCAAGACTTAGGGCTGGATGATAGAACGACAATGTACCATATATCGATATATTTTTAAGCAAGATATAGATTTCAGCAATACTGTTTATATCGATATAGAGTCAAGTTGTGTTGTGTGATGCATAGAAGTGTGCTTCTCTCCTCTCTCTCACTCTCCACACAGCTCTCACTCACTCACTCACTCACTCACTCACTCACAAGTTCTCCAGCAACACTCAGAGAGACACAGAGCTACTCCTCTGTTTAATCTGTCTGTTAATTAGTCTACAGTGCGACATCAGTCTATGTGTTGCACGTGCTACGCTAAATCAGTCTGTGAGATGAATGAAGTTACAGCAGTAGCACATGTGAAATCCAGCGCTGCATGTGTAGGTGACAGAGCTGCTAAATTATGTCAGGTGTGCGTTTGTTTGCTAGTTTGTGTGTGAGGTGGATCATAGCGCATTGCTGTTCTTCTTGGTAGTTGTAGTCTAATGTGTGACACTGAGACAGCGCCTGGATGAAGGCGACAAGTGTGTTTAAAAAAAATGCTGCCACAACACAAACGTTGCATTTACAAGACGTATATAACAAGGACTAAGTGTCTCTCGCTCCTTCCATCCCTCGGCCTCTCTGATGCTCTGTGCATTAATAAGATTAATAACCTGTATAGATACAAATATTTAAATAATTTTCCAGCTCTGGATTCATTTGAAAGGCCAACAGATGGAAAACTACTTTTTAACTCCCCCCACAAAGATTTTTAATTGTTCTAAACTACAGTGGATTTAGGCCTACTTGATACTCATGTTATAGTTTTGTGTCCTGTGCCGCAAACCTTTAAATCTTTGTAGCTCCAGTGCTGTGTGCAAAAATGTTAACGTACAGCCCTGCTATTTGTTTTATATAATTTTTCATTTACAGGGGAATAAAATTCCTGTCTTTACATTTAATTTGGGCCATAACCTGTTTTTATAAAAGTGCTTGTGCATCTCAAATGTGGCTTTGACTTGCAACTGAACATGTAGCCCATTTCGTATCAAATACTGAGAGATATATCGTGTATAACCAGTCAGCCTGAAAATACTGAGATATAAATATTTGTCCGTATCGCCCAGCCCTAATAGTATTGACCAACTTTGTAAAGCTATCTGAATGTGTGCAAATAAAGACAATTAGGGAGCTCCCATCTATGGAGGTGTAATCCCAAATGCAGCAATTAAGATACAAACTTTTGTTAAACATGAACAAATCTGTGACTTTTATTTTGAATGGATTGTCAGTATTTAATGTATAATATGCAGTATTGTTGATAACTGTCTTTAAACACACTCGCCAGAAAGTGAAAGTAAAAGCCAACCCAGGTTCGCTCTCTTTGATATTTTGCATAGCTATATTTTTGGATATCGTTAATTATTTTTTCTTTCGGCGCCGTGTCTCTTGCAATGACTGACCAAATTTTTGACACCACTATATGCAGACTGACTCTGGCCATTTTAATTTCAGCACTAATACGTAACTCCAAATCATTAGTTCTTTCTTACCTGTGCTTTAACACTGTGGTAGGCAGATTGTCCCGGTTCTTCCTGATAGCTGCCATGGCTGCATGGCTGCGCTCATGAGAACGCAAACCTTTTAGTGACATGAATGACCGCCCGCACTGTTCGCAGGTGTGTTTGTCTTCTCTCGATTCCAGCTCTGGTTGCTCCAGCTCTGTGGACTTTGAAGGTGACGGCAGAGGACTTGGTGGCATAACGAAAGTCTCTACTGGTGTCACGTTCCACTGGGCCAATTCCTCCACATTTTCTAATTTGAGAAGTACGTCCTGCTTACAGAGCTGAAAATGAAACACAGAAATACTCAACAAAGTGTAGCTAATGGATCAAGAGTGTATATGACCATATTGGCAGAGTCGACTTACTTTAATGGATTTGGCCTCTGGTGTTGTCGTATCAAGTGAAGCTGTTGTCTTCTCATCCATCGCTCTCTTTCTTGCACTCTCTCTGTGGCAATCCAGGTGATACCACAGCTTTCTAATTCCATTCATTTGTTTGTAGCAGTGCACACACCTGTAAAGACCTGTACTACCCTTCTTTTTCCCTGTTGATAACACAGTGAAGTCCAATATGGAGTCCAAGCTATGAAAAGCACTATAGTGGGCTGCAAGCAGCTCAGATGAGTCAAACATGAACTCCGGACACTTTTTACATTTCATGGGTCCATCTTTCTCAGATTCAGCTTCAGGCAGTTTGCTGGCTTTGCGTTTACGTTTGTTATACTTCTCTAGCAGCTTGTGTATGGTAAATGGATCCATTTTGTGAGTCTTTTTGTAGTGACATTGCAGGTATCGCCTGAAGAATCCTTTATAGTTACAAATGTGGCACTTGTACACAATCGTCATGTTCTGTACTGATGGTGCATTGGATTGAGAAGTCTCAGGAGTTCCCAACTGGTGACTGAAACCGATTTCAGTGCTCAATGGTGATCCCTGAGAGCTGTGATCAGGTTGCTTTTCAGTTTCAGTGTCAGGTTCAGAAGCCTGATTGTGGTCCCTCTCACAGTGGATTTTCAGCTTCTTCATTGAAGGATAAATTAGTGGACATCTTTTACACATGTACCCTCTTTCATTAGCACCTTTCCCCACGGAACACCCTACCATGTTGGTCATGACTACTTCATCTGTTTGAAGTCTATCTGCTCTGACTATGAGGTCTGGATGCTTCATTTGGCAGTGCGTCAGAGTGCCATGGTAGCTTGCATTCACATAGGAGCAACATGGACACCTGTAGACTAATTTTTTGTTTTCATCGGTTGTCGTGCTGGATTTACATGCCTCATGCTCGATTTCTGGTTGCTGAGTTAAAGGGTGGTCAGGAGATGTTGGTGCTGGCTTCTCTTGGCCATGCTTGTACACTGGTACATAGTACTTTAAGAAGCTGTCCCTTCCATGTTTCTTAATATAATGGCTTGCAAGTCGAACTTTTTCGAAATAGGAGATGGAACACAGGACACACTTGTATATGTGATCCTGAACCTTTGAAACAGGTGCATTCTTGTGGTGGACACGCACATGTCGACCAAGCGCAATTTTTGTGCTACAGCTGTAAGCACAGTACTGGCACTTAACCACTGCATATATTTTCTTCCTTAAAAAGGAGGCCTGCGATACTAATCCCCAATTGCTTAGGGTCTTAAATTGTTTTATTTTACTCACAGCTGATGGTTTAGATGGTTTCAGTGTGTTTGGCACTGTGCTTGCCATAGTTTTAGTATGGACCTTCTTGCAGTGCCTGTTTAGCTTCTCCTGCGTTGAACAGATTTTTGGGCAGGATTCACACATGTAACCACGAAGTCTCAAAGTGCAACCAGGACCTTTACTTTTCAAACAGACACCCCAGTGGCGTGAATGTTCTTCATCCACGTAATGACTGTCCGCCGAGCACACAAGAGCAGGATGCTTCATCTGGCAGTGAGTGAGAACTCCTTGATATTTGGAATTCACATAGGTACAATGTGGACACTTTAAGACATGCATACCTGTTTGGAGTTGCTCTTGCTGTTTATCTGAATCGTCATTTGCAGCTTTATGGTGTTTCATTCCACAGTGAGTGTGGAGACCGCGGTAGCTGTGAAAACTAGCAGGGCAGTAAGGGCACTTGATCAATGTGGAAGATGCTGTTTCTTCAGAAGATGAATCAGGTGACTTGTCAAAATCAAGAGGCACTTGGTAGGATTCGAATGACCCTGGCTTGTCATTGTGGTCTTCCGTCTGCCTGTTTGCACTTGGTTTCTTGCTGTTGATGACATCCAGAATTGAGCCGTCTTCTTTCACAGACCACGGATGAACAGCATGGTAGTGGCGTGTGAGGCCTGACTTTGAGCTACCTTTAAATGAACATGCTCTGCATGAATACGTCTTGATTTCATTTTGTCCAGATCTTTGAAATGGTAAGCTGCCATCAGTGCCATCATCCTCACTAGCATCATCGGTGTACTTTATACGGGGTTTTTTCCTTTTGGGAGAACGTGTTTCGGGACCGACATACAACCGAGTAGTCACATGGTCAAGGCTTGCACTACGTTCTGGGTGTTGTTCCTGGTAGTGTTTATAGACTGCTGCTGCTTTTTTGTGTGAGAAAACACACCTATCGCAGTGATAGCCTGTCTGTATATTTCCTTGTCTGAAACACACTCTTAAGAGGTCTGTGACTGAGCGATTTGCCCTGTGGATTTTCCGCATATGCCTCTTCAAAAGATTCAGATATTGAGTGCTATAAGAGCATCTATAGCACTGAAGGGTCCTCTGTGTTTGTGAGGCTTTCATTGAGGGTGGTGCCGACACCGGTAAGGGTTTGCCAAGCTGTTTTACTTTTTTCTTTTTATGTCCTTCACCATCTTGGGATGCATGACTGACTGACAAAGACTGGTTTGCAGTTGTGTTTAGGTGCAACCTCTGTGTCTTTGCATGAACAATAGAGGTGTACAGACGGACTTGTTCAACCTTAACCATGAATCCACGATGTTTTTTGGCGTAATGTTTCATTACAATTTCCATAGTACTCTGCCTATAGTTGCAAAAGTGGCAGAAAAACTTTTTTTCATCGCCCTCATTCATAAGAGGAAGAGGTAGACGTGTAGAAAAGGAAAACTCCTTTGCTTGGGATTTTGATTTTTTAATTTCATCACGCATCAAAGCTGTATGTTCAAGAATACATTCCATGCTGTATTGAATGCCTGAGTGAACTTTGTTTTGATGGTTTGCTATTCCTTTTGCAGATGGATTACCAAAGTTGCATTTTTGGCAGTAAAACAAGTTTTCTGCACATGCATAAGCATTGAGGCTCGTCACTGAAGCATCTGCTGCTTCGTCCACTTCATCTTGAAGTTCTTTTTCACTACATACCTTAACTTGTTTAGAAGTTTTAGAACCAGAAGATGTTTTACTTGCTAAGGCCTTAGCTTCTCTTTGACGTTTCTTTTTCTGGACTTCAGCACTATACACCAAGATCTCTTCAGTACCTGTTAGTGCATGCATAGAGTGTTTTGCGTTATGATGACCAATAACGCTTCTGATGTTGGTACTTGAATAACTGCAATACTTGCAGTAAAACAACTTATCTGGTGAACTGCTCGTTAAACTGTACTTTCCCACAGACATTACCTTATCATGTTTGGTGGGTGACTGAGTTCCTTTATTTCTGTCCACTGCAGATTCCAATTTCTTAGTTTTGGGTAACTCTGAATGAGTCTGCAAAGCTTCTGGTGTGCGCTTATGCTGTGACAGCTCAGCTTTGTCTTTTGTTCTCTTAGAAGAACCTGAGATTTTTGTTTGAGGAGCAGATTTTTCAGTTAATGTCACAGAGTTCGGAGACTTATCTGGCGTCCTCTGTGACTGTTTGATTTTGTCAAGTGTGACTGCTTCCCCTGGGTGGCTTTTTTGGTAGTGGACACGCATAACAACAGTTGACTTATGACTAAACTTGCACTTACTGCAATGATACAAGATCTCGTCTGCTGTTGTAGAGGTGGGATGTTGGGGTGAGGGTGCATTTTTGACTTCCTTAGATGGTGTACAGACCCTCTCAGGAGAAATCTCTGCTTGTCTTTCCGGACTGGGCACTGTTTCACATGTATTTGACTGGGATGAGCCCTTTTGACATCCAGTTACCAAATATTTGCAGTACATCAAGGAATTATCCATTTTATGTTTTGGGTGAATTTCCTTGTAATGGTTTTCCAAAGCTTCCAATATGTTCGTGGTAAAGGGACACACAAAACATCTGAAAACCAAACTGAGTTCACGTGTTTGCATCGTGAATACATCTGGGGCCCCTTGATGTTTTTCAGAGTAGTGTCTCTTGATGGCAGCTACACTTACAAACTCAACTGGACACTGCAGGCAACGAAAGGTAGCACTCGCATCACGTGGATCCTGAATGTAAGCAGTGTTACATCTTATATAAGGGTGGTCGCTCTGATAATGGGTGGTCACAGAACTGATGCTCATATCACGGTAGTCACAATGCTTACAATAATAGACCTTTGAGCCTTCTGTGTCCCCATTGGCAAGATGAAGATTCTTTTCTCCTTCATCTTCGCTAACTTCAAATGAAAACTCTGGGTCATTTGTTTCTTTTTGTTTACTTGCGTTTGTTTCCTCCGGGAGCTTTGTCTCACTTATATCAGACTTTGCTTTTTTAGCAGGAGGAGCATTCATCCTTTCACTGTCGGTCCTCTTGCCAGTTTTTTCAGGGGTTGTTTCTCTGGATTGTTCCTTAGGCTTTAATGGTCTCAGATCGGTAATTAAAAGGTGGTCATTTAGCAAAAAATGATCAGAAACACTGGTGATGTCAATCATGGGCTTTGCAGTGACTTTAAACACACCACTACTGTTTGGACGGGAGCATGAGGGGGACTCTTGCAAAATTATAGTTCCTTTGGCGCTGTCGAGAAGCTTTGGGCTATCAGCTGACTTCATTGATGGTTTCCCATTTGATCCAGATGATGGTGCAAAGTACTTGGTAATGGTTTGCAAGGGCCTCTTATAGATCTTAACATCCTTTGATGAGTTAAGTGTGCATTTAGTTTTTGAGGTAGAAGTATCCGAAAAAACGTTGGAAATCTCTTTTTCTTCTGCAGCTTCACTGTGCTGGTTTGTTGAAATAACAGGTGTATTGGTCTCCAGGTTTTCAGAAATTATAATTTTCCCAATCATGTTCTGATCCTCTGATTTTTTGTGACATTGTTTCTCATGGTTGTTTAGAGTGTCCCCATCGCAAGCTTTGAAATCACAGTGCTGGCATTTAAAATCATCTCCTGAGGTGTTGCTATGGTTGTCAGTGTTGGCTTTGAAATTGCCGGAGCATTTTAAACCAGCCACTGTGAGAGCAGCATCTACATCAAAGTCATGCACCTTGTTGAGGTGTTCAAAAAGGTAGACCTTGGATTTGAAGAGGATCGTACAGTGACTACACTTGAAAGACTTGACTTGGGATACTTGATTCTGTGTCATGGGGCCAGGGGTGGAAAAGCTCATTGAATCTGAGGGGTAAATAACAGATAAAATTAAATACTCAACTTAATTTCATGCACTACAGTAAAACAACATTGTCAGAAAAATAACTGTGATAAATACCTTCTTGCATCTTGCATTCCTCTTTAAACCCGCAGCCTTACATATGAAGACACATTTGTGACACATCTAGAGGATGGATAACATTCATTACTGCATTGCTCATCGTACAAAACCAGCAACATATTTGACTACTACTTTAGTTACCACGTAAAGTTGAGTGCACCACCGAGGATTACATGGGGGATTTTAAAAAAACGACAACATGAAATGCATTGCGCTTCTAACGCATTAAAGGAAAAATCAATTGATCGTCAGTACAAAACAGCAGTAAAAACAACTTGAGACTTCAGCATATTCAACAGGAAGGAAGCGTAAAACGAGCCCCGCTCCTTTACAGACAAAACTAACACAAACACTTTGAACAACACGATCGAAAGAAAAAATGGACGAATATAATTTACTGAAATACTCGAAGCACATTAATGATATACTCACATAAGCCGACAAACCCCGGATGAGGCTTAAGACGCAATGTTTAGAAGCGCTGATGCTGATAACGTGAAGAAAACACAAGTTTCCGCCATTTTTCCCGCGAGTACAACTCTCTGGCTTGTCCTTCCGCTCCATCGACGAAACATCAATGGACTTTACATCACTTCCTGTGAATGTTACTATACCTTCAAAATCAAATTAATTAGCGGCGCTGTGCACAAAAAATAATCCCAGTTTCACTATGATGCCTTAGAAGAGACACAAATACATCAGTTAAACAATAAATTAATTTACCACCTATTCGTTCACATACTCGTATTAGCCAATAGATGGCGCTATGTCACCCACAATTCCGTAGGGTTCATGCTGCAAAAAAGATAGGAATTTCCAATTCTTAATGCAACATATTAACCATGCATTTTACTGAATGTAATGATAATGAAAAAATAATTAATAACAAACCCTTATGTGTCTTTTTGATGTATTTAATTGAAATAATGCACAGAAAACAAAAATAATACATCCAGAGCAAAACTACACATTGATTAAAAATATGTGTACTAATAAAAGTATAAAATAAATCTGTAATTAATAAAATGTAATCTAAAAATAAAAGCCCAATATATTTTCTCATTTACACCAGTGTGTTATGATTTTTAGTGTTATGCTAAACTGTATTATTTTACAATTGGCGCAGCTCATATTTTCATTTCTATTAGGAAAAAAATAACACCTACTCGTGCTTTAATTGTAAAATCAGAGACAAATTTGACCGGAAGTACTTATAGTTTGCTTTGTGGTCACTTTGCTAGTTTAAAGAGGATGAGAACATGTTGAAAATACATTTATATAAAAGATTTGGTGCCGAACTCCTTTTATTACTCTACATTTAGTTCCAGTCTGGGCCTCTGTATTGATTATAAATTATTTTTTAAATAATTTACAAGCTATATATAATTGTGGTTGTGTTATCTTCGTGTAAACTTCGATCGCCAGTGTGTTTTTCTCCTCATATCCACACTGACCGCAGTAAAAATGATTTACTGTAACGGATGTTGCTTGTTCTCCGTCACTGCTGTCATTGGATCCGCGCTCTGGTATTGTTTCCACCGGAGCAATATCGGGCGGACCATAACAGGAAGGCGCAACAGCGGTGCAGCAGTGACCTGACAGTCACCTGCTTCTTTTAAAATTTACATTTCTGTCTACTGTAACTCACAGTGTAAGTTTGTTTCACCGTTACACCACACTGTACTCGGTTCAAGAAAAGCTAACGTTACAAGAAGTCGTTTGAAAATGCTAACTTAAGCTAAAGTTAGCATCAGAGTTGGCTTGTGGCTAACACTCATTGTAACTTAAGTGTTAAGTGAATGTTAATAGTATTAATGTGTGCCGGTTTTTGTCCTTTTGCAAACTAACTTACTGTTACCAGCCACGGCTAAACGCTGTTATAATGCTAAAAACACATACAAACAGCTAAAATAGACCCAGCTCTGGGACACATGAGTATCTCAGTCTTTGTGCACCCGACTCACTCAAACACAAAAGGAATGCCTGTTGCAGCAAATCAGTCCTCTGTGAAAAAAAGCCATTGACGAACCATTGTGTTTGTGTGTTCACGGGGTGACATTTTCAGAGGGAAAAAGGATAATGCCAGTCTGACCTCAGAGAAACACCATGCTGCCAGCCAAGCTGACCAGTCAGTTAACCCTGAATGTCCTGAGGAGGATTCACTATGGAGCTTCTTACCCCTGCCTGTACTCCTTGTCTAACGGCCTCATTCACATGGACAGAAAAAGGACGAGAGATGTGAGTCTCCACTCAGACTCCAGTGTGTTGAGGAGAGTGTTTTACAGCCAGAGTGCTATCCGCCCATCACTCAGACTACGTGAAACACAGAACAATGGGAGAAGATCATTCAGTTTATCTGCTGCTACAATTGTGAATTCAGCACCATCACCTGTTCAGCCATACCTGCGATTGATGAGGCTGGACAAACCTATTGGTTAGTACATTAATTTGTAATGCAGATTGCTTTTTTTCTGTATGAAGTCATTTTATGGGGAAACTGATACTGTGTATGGACACTATATAGATATTAATTTTAAAAGGAATATTTGGATTGACCCAGCAGTGCCAAAGTTTGGAATATTGCAGCATTTTTGTGATCTTGTTTTCTTTGAGTAATTCACACAGTTGTGTAATAAAGTATATAATGGTGTATTAAAAACACATGATGACCTTTAGATAGACAATCCAAAAAAATGTATTTGGTTTTTCAGTCCTTTTAAAAGGACTCCTTTAAAAGTGCACATTGAACATCGTATTTGCCATCAAAGATATTTGTATAAGTTTGAATACTACATTAATACATACCTGCTTTTATAATTTTGTCTAAACCGAAAGTGTGATGTTCTGTCAATCACTGAACTATTTCCCCACGTCCGTAGCTTGGAATAAAACCAAAAGGTCTTAGTAACCCTAGAATACATCAAAACACATATCTCCACTCAAAGGTCTAATTTGGAGTAACAGTGTTAGTATTACGTACAAAACGTGTCCGACATAGTGGTGAGAGATTCTGCAAGAAAACAGCAAGGTCAGTTATTTGCTTCTATCGTAAATGTTTGCAGAAAGGCAGGAGAGCTCACATACTCGTTACGGAAAGCAAGCTATTCCCACTCACATAGCCACACACACTGACGTAAATTTATCTTTTTTGGCAGCACCATGCAGCGCTGAGAGTAAAGTGCCTTGTTAAAGGGATCCTCAACATAAATCAGATTTTCCTGCTTAGACTTTCAGAAGCTGATCTCTCACAGTCCTCTTGACTTATGTTGTTTCTGTGTTTTTGTGTAGGAACATGGCTGCTCTACCTCCCGTGTACATGGAGCATAGCTCTGGCTGCCGACCCCGGATGCCTCCCTCATCTGGGCATGCTCACCCTGTTTGGTACAGGTGCTCTGATGATGAGAGGAGCAGGCTGCACCATCAATGACATGTGGGATAGAGACTTTGACAAAAAGGTATTTGAAACTTAAATGTAGCCATTCACGCATTAGCTGATACTAACAGGCGGCTTTTTATTATGATAACTTAGGAACTACTGGTATATTACAGCAAGAAGTGTATATATATATATACTAATGATTTTTGCACTGACTGATTGAAAGTGGTGATGTTTTGGTGCAGGTGTCCAGGACGGCCACACGACCCATTGCATCAGGAGAGATTTCTCGGTCACAGGCACTAGCCTTCTTAGGAGGGCAACTCTCTCTGGCACTCGGGGTTCTCTTGTGTCTCAACTATTACAGGTACCCAGTGATCTTTATGTTGTCATTAGATCTGTATAATGACCAGTTCAAAAGCAGAAATAGAGGAGACGGGGAAAATAAATAAGTGTGTAGGACCAATGAAATCCACTCTTTTTAAGCTTCATTTCGCGTGCTTAATTTGGATATCTTCTTAGGGTGGGGGAAGACTTGATACATTATAGTATTGCAATATTTTCTGTGGCAATATTGAAGCCATACACGGATGATAAGTATCAATTTTTAATTATTTAAATGATTAACATTAATATATAAACAAATACAGATAAACTTTTGTCAGTTTTCAGACTGAAAACTTTATCTCATTAGACAAAAAGATGTTTAAAGAGTTTTACTTTCAGGACATAATTTGCAGTTGATCGCTATACAGGTATGTCTGACAGTATGTCATGTACTTTGCATATTGAAAAACCAAGTTAAATTACAATAATATTGTATTGTGAATTAAGTATTGTGAAAATATTGTATTGCAAAGGCTTAATATCTTTTAAAGTCATAGTCTTTTTTAGTGTACAACTCTCTTTGCAAAATTTTGTACTAAAAAGACAAACTTTAGAAGATACTCTCTTGATTTGTCTAACTCGGACTTATAAAGCCTAATCCTAACTTCAGATAAATGTTTAAATATATTCTTGTGCAAAACAAAGATTGTGGATTTTGTACCACATCACTTACATTGGACACAGATTAAATGTCTGGTATGAACAGGAGAATGGATTACAGCAAGCAAAACCTCTTTCAAAGCTCATGTTTGAACCTAACCAGTGTTTTAATTAACCTAAAAATGTGTGAGCCTGTCCTTTTAAACCAACAGCAGATCAAACAGTTCACCAGTTACCTTTTTTATAGATGTGTTACTTGCAGTGTGTTTATGTACAAGAGCAAGGAATGTACGTTAGAATGCAGATCAAAAATGACCAAAAACAAAGTTGTTTATATATTTAATGGCTTGACACTGTTAGGCTCACAGTTTTCATACTGCCCCTCACAGCATCGCGTTGGGTGCAGCTTCATTATCTCTTGTTGTCACCTACCCGCTGATGAAGAGATTCACTTACTGGCCACAGTTTGTGTTGGGTATGTACTAGTTAAGATTGTGTGTGTTATACATCTAAAACTTCTTCCCCTGCAGCAAAGCTAAATTCAGTTTCATGTTTTTTCTGTTCCTGTTGTCTAGGCCTCACTTTCAACTGGGGAGCGCTGCTCGGCTGGTCCGCTATCAAGGGCTCCTGTGATTGGTCCGTGTGCCTCCCACTGTATTTCTCTGGAGTGATGTGGACGCTGATATATGACACAATATATGCACATCAGGTGAAGAAGGGGGCTCCACAGATCTTATTTATATTTCCTTTAAAGCACTTATTTGATATGTAGTAGTAGAGAAATGTTATGTAGTAGAGAAATAATTAGACCATGGGTTCAATTATTTTTATCATAGACCATTGACACCAGTCATTCTGGAGTAGAACATAAGCATAATGCTATGATAATATGGACTGACACTGGACTCTCTCTGCTTTTTCTTTGATAACTAGGATAAGGAGGACGACGTCAAGGTAGGAGTCAAATCCACTGCGCTGAGGTTCCAGGAGCAAACCAAACCTTGGCTGAGTGGCTTCACGGTGGCCATGATGTCTGGACTGGTACTAGCCGGAGTCAATACTGAACAGACTCTGCCTTACTACACTGTACTGTCCGCAGTGGCCATTCACCTAACGCATCAGGTGAGGAACAAGGTGTTGTACAGTGACTGAATGCTCGCTGCCAGAGGGTTAATTATTACAATGCAGAGTTTAATTCACAGTGAGATGAAATTCCCCAGAGTGAATTGGTGATGTAAATATATAAACTAATACCTTTTATCTTTTTAAATCACTAACAGGTCTTTTAAGGTATTATCCCAAACATGCACGTGACATTTACTCTACTCTCTTCTAGATTTACACATTGGACATTAACAAACCAGAGGACTGCTGGAAGAAATTTGTCTCGAACAGAAACCTTGGACTGTTGTTATTTTTAGGCATCGTTGCAGGCAATCTGTGGAAAGAGAGAAGAGAGACTTTGCTGCAGAATGAGGAAGAAATCAGATAAGTGAAATAACCAGAACAAATAGTATTTTTATTGTATTTACAGTACATCGCATGCAGTGTCACTCAGCAGGGGTGCACATCACAGGTTTCATTGCAGTACAATATTATATCAATTCTTTGGACTAATGATATGTTATCTGCAGATAATCACATAGTCTGCAGCGGTACAATTTCAATTCGAGCCTGCGATTGATATGAAATGAAATCAGTAAATATCCTGTTGTATCTTTCTGTGCTGCTTGCCATTGTCTGCTCGGTGCTGGACCACTTGCACTATTTGAATGTCCAGGAAAAAGGTATGATCAGGCAGATACGGTTACACAAACATGCTATGGTAATTTAAAAATAAATATGGTGACACATGTTGGTTTTTTTAGACAATCTTTTTTATTGCGTTTTTTTAACAGTAACATTTCAACAAAGAAAATAAGTATATTATCCCCAACACTGGCGAGGAAAATAAAATGAAATTGAATAAATAAGTAATTAATATGGTGATATATGTATCAATGTTTTCACTTTGCATCGATAATAATGGATTTTTAATCAATGTATCATCACACCCTGACCGTTTTATAGATTACTATTGGTTTTTTATGGCTGGTGAGTGAGGCCAATCTACCAGCCACTTGCATATTTTAATAGCATTTGGCTAGTTCCACTCCAAACAAAGCTCTATGAGAGAGCAAATAGATGTACTACAAGCTGTGTGATTTTTACCCACACAATTAAGTTATTTGATATATTTCTTTACTTATAAAATGTATTTTTACAGATGTTAATTTAAAAAATCACTTTCAATGGTTTTGTTGTAAACTGATGAATAAAATACCTCCTGGTACCTACATTTATAATTTACTTATGTGTTCAAGTGCTGCTAGGGGACCTCTAGTTTCTGCACACGTACACTCAGAATTAGTCACAATAAACACGTACAGGTGGGGAAGTTGTTTCTTTTTACTTTTATTAGGTGCTGCAGCTGTTGTTAAAAGTATGTACTGTTGCATGCAGTGTGCACACAATCGGGACACGCTACTTTTTTATAACATTGCGCCCAGAAATTTGACCCTCTTGCTTTTATATCCGTTAATCTGGAGATAAAACAAACACTACTTGCAAAGTTCGCAAGAGATGGACAGCTCAACTTGAAGAGCTCTGCAGTTGTTACTTTGAAATGTATGTAGTTTAACTTAAAAGTTATAACTGCATAGATTGTAGATTCAGTGAAATTACATCTGGAGTTCCCCTGTCACTGCTATTTTTATAGTCATTTCCTTTTGTTGTTTGTAATATTTATGATTCTTTTGTTCACTTCAACAATTAATATTCCCGTTATTACTGTTAGACTGGTCATCAGTTACTTGAATGTGCTGTCACCCATCATTGCGACTTCTGACAGCTGTAAATCAGCTATAATACAGCTGTCAACGAGCTGTCAAGCTGTCATCTGTTGCAGAGGATTGTGGGTCAGAATAGCCTGAAAAGCATGCTGGTTTGCATACTGCAAAATTGGACCAGATGTAGTAGAACATCTTGGTATTTTTGGCATACTGCATTTGACATACCATGTATTGGGACATTATAAATCTTTATCTGGCATTCTATATAGTATGGTAGTATGGGTATTGGAACGCAGTAACGAGTGTTATTGTTGCTAAATACTCCTTAAAACTGCACTGAGCAGTTTTTACCACTAGGGAGCAGACAAACAGTGGCCACCTTTAGAAAGTATTTACTGGTCCAACTACTGAGAAAAATATTTGGGTCTTTAGCTTCACTTACCTCATGACTCACTGTTTTTTCTTTTCATTCTTGCACTCTTTTCATGCGAGGCAGATAGGGGATGCTCACCATGCCTGAGCTTGTTTGATGGAAACAGCTGTCACTTTTTTTTTATGTGGAGAGTTTTTTGAGAGTAGTCACACTCATCCGTAGTGTTTTTGCAAGTTGCACAACCTGAAAGAGGGTAGAAGCTGCACTGACTTGAAGAGTGAAGTTTGGCACTATGAGCTGTGACCTTATGTGACCTGGTTTTGTTTTTAATGTCGTGTTGTCACGATACTGGAATTTTTAACTTTGACACAGTACTTTTGATACCACATGGAAAGATTGACATTGAAAACATAAAATGTAACACTTTTATTAAAAGATCAATGTAACAGGGCGTTTATATGACAATGACAACCCTTCTTGATTAGTAGCAGAGAACAGCTGAGTGACTGTAGTAAATATTAAGATTCAAGATAGCCTTTATTGTCATTGTACAGACACCTATGCAACGAAACTGGGAGTGCCACAACTGAAGGTGCATTAGGAATAAATATAAGAACAAAAATGAAACAAGTGGAGACAACCCAAGACGAACAAGACGAACAAGACGAACAAGACAAGAGCGTACAGGTCATGTCATAATAAAAACAATAAGTAAAAAAAATTGTATTGCACTTAATAAAAGAAGGTATTGCACTTAAGTCTGTAAAAGTCTGTAAAAGGAGGCATTAATGACTCATGTGAGCACTGAGTGTCCTGACAGCCCACGGAAAGAAGCTGTTTTTCAGTCTGTTTGTTCTACTCTTTATGCTCCTGTACCTCTTTCCAGAGGGCAGCAATCTGAGCAGGTTGTGTCCTGGATGGAGGTGGTTGCGAATGATCTTCCTTGTTCGCATGAGGCATTGGGAGCTAGTGATGTCATCCAGGGAGGGCAAGGGACAGCCAATTGTCTTTTCAGCTGACCTTATCACCCTCTGCAGCCTTTTCCTGTCAGCCACTGTGCAGCCAGCATACCACACATTGATGGAGAATGCCAGCACGCTTTCAATGGTGGAGCGGTAGAAAGTCACCAGCAGCCTCTGCTGGTAGTAGTGAAAGAGAGTGAGAAGGTGCAGCTGGTACTGGTGTATCAATACTGGAGAGAATGAGTACTGTGTTTTGATATATCAATATTTTTCACAACTCTTCAATACCAGTAAATGTCAATTAATGCAGGTTTAGATTATAAAAGTGATTTGCAGGCGAGCAAGAGGGTTTCTGGTTAGAACCAGAGGGTGGGTACTCTGGTTTCCTCCCACGGTCCAAAGGCATGCAGGTTAATTGGTGACTCTAAATTGTCCGTAGGTGTGAATGTGAGCATGAATGGTTGTCTATCTCTATGTGTCAGCCCTGTGCCCCTCTGGCAGGGTGTACCCTGCCTCTTACCCAGTGTCAGCTGTAATAGGCTCCAGCACACCCGCGACCACTGACATAATAATACTACTACTACTACTAATAATAATAATAATAATAGTAATAATAAACTTTATTTAGAGCACCTTTCATACAAGAAATGTATGAAGAAATGCAGTGCAAAGTGCTTTACAATAAATGGACAAAAAACAGACAATTCAATATGAAACGACATTAAAAACAGTTTAAAACATGGATTAAAACTATAAATCATAAAATCCAGTTAGATTTTAAAAGAGCTGCAGCAGCATGTAGCATAAATAGACAGTAAAAGTGTAAAAAGAAAGCGTTTCAGACCTGTATCAGGAGGTCAGGGCTAGTTAAAGGCTAAAGTGAACAAATATGTTTTTAGCTTTCTTTTAAAAATATTTAGCGAGCTAGCTTCCCTGATATCTACAGGTAGTGTGCTCCATATCTTTGGGGCATAACTGACAAAGGCTGCATCTCCGATATTCTTCCGGCTGTTGCTGGGAACCTCCAATAAACCAGCAGCAGATGATCGCAGTGCTCTTTGAGGCAAATCGTTAACAATGGAAAAGCGGTTACGGAAAATGAATGAATATAATGATCTTCAGTTTATGCCAGCAGAGAACATTTTTCATTTTGGTTATCTTCCTTTAAGACTTTATTTAGATTCAATTTTCACAAATTCAAGAACAGAATTTTAAAAGATCAAACAGCAGTGACATTTTTGACCAAATACATCGATTTTTATATTGCAACAATAAAATAGGGTTGACTCTTAGTGCTTTAACAAAATATTTACACATTAAGATTTTCGATAAACAATCATTAGTAATGTGGATATAATGACTAGGTGGTTAAAGGCAAATGATAGAACAGTAAGAACAGCCTGTGAGTTCAGAAAATGTCATCACTTAATTGTAATGCAGCCTTTAAAACCAGGAAAAGACACGTACAATGTTCATTCATTCATTCATCTTCTAACCGCTTCATCCTCTTGAGGGTCGCGGGGGGGCTGGAGCCTATCCCAGCTGACATCAGGCGAGAGGCAGGGTTCACCCTGGACAGGTCGCCAGACTATCGCAGGGCTGACACATAGAGACAAACAACCATCCGCGCTCACATTCACATCTACGGACAATTTAGAGTTATCAATTAACCTAGTCCCCAATCTGCATGTCTTTGGACTGTGGGAGGAAGCCGGAGTGCCCGGAGAGAACCCACGCTGACATGGGGAGAACATGCAAACTCCGCACAGAAGGGCTCCCACGCCTGGGATCGAACCGGCAACCCTCTTGCTGCGAGAGTGCTAACCACCACACCACCATGCCGCCCCACGTACAATGTTATGTGTCCAAAATCTAAGATGATATCTAGTCTCATAAGAAGATATCAATATATTGCCCAGCCCTAATTGAGCGTAATTACGTCCCGCTAAGTAGATACAGGAGTGTGTTAAGATGATTAACTCGTGTTGAGTTTTAATAAGATAAAAAGCAGAATTACATTAAAAAGTGGAAACAGACCTATGTATGTTACAGACAAAAGTCTCAAACCAGACACATTTCTTAATTCTACTGCTATAACAACACAAGCCACAATCATTTGAGTGTTAATCCAACTTATACAAGTGTATGTTTTCCTCCATGACAGTTTTGGGCCCAGGTGCCTGTGTATGTGATAATCTGCTTTCACGGTTGCTGCCCAGGTCAGAATTCCCACAAAGTGACCCAAATGCCAGCCATGCCACCACGCTGAGAAGCTAAAAGTCATGAACAGTGGGAAACGTTTGCATCTTGTAAAAACCAGCCTACGCAGCCATAAAGCTGTCGTGGAGTTCCATCGACGGGCAAACTGTGACATACGGCGCGACGCTTCAATGGTCCAGAAATCTCCATCAGATAGTCCGCTCCAGTCTGGGGAGTCTCCTGGTGAATTTTCCCAAAAGCCAAACCCAGCTGCGTTATTGAGGCATTCACTGACCCTCCAGTGAGAATAATATTGGATCCTCAAAACTGCCGCCAGACCCCAAACCCACAGGACGCCATAGAGAATGATACAGCTGGAGGGATCATAGGTGTTATGTTTCAGGAAATAGACAAGACAATACCTTACCAACTCCATCATTAACACCTGCATCAACTTTAGGGAGACGACACCCAGTGGACTAGGTGGAGGGTTGAGGCTGATTCCCGCCATTAGGGACACAAATCGGCTGTAGGAGCACAAAGGCCCACCGAACAGTGTGGTGAAGTTGAGGATGTAGCTGACAAGAGGGAGAAGCATCACACAGGTCTTCCTTTTGGATGAAGAATTAAATGTTAGTGTAACTTGTTTTTCCTGGAGGTCCATGGACACAGAGGTGACTCTCTGAGTGAGCAGCATCAAAGAGGACACTGCCAGAAACAATCTGAAAAAAAAAAACATTATATATGTAAGTATTTTTGTCAGAAAGAGGAATAAATGTTTAACTATATGTCTGCATTTTATGTTACCAAGAGTATAACAGCAGCCAACAACTACTGATTGCACACTGTAATAGCTTCACTATCTGCATTTAGATTGGTTCAGCCTCGCTTTTCACAATGCATGTACCAGGTAGGATCTCCAGGGAAAATGGCTCAATTTACAGCACAAAATGCGTCCACCAAAACAGGAAGAGGATGGTCCCTAGTTACCAAAGACAATCAGCGTAGGTTCTCTGCAATTACTATCTCCAGTAGTTGAATTGGCGGACAGTAGAGCAACTGAAGTGACTTTAAACTGTGGTGTTTGTTAGGCTCTGAGACAATAATAACAACAACAATAATACCACTTGGAAACACTATAAAGGGAAATGTTGAATATTAAAATTAAAATTTCCATTTTAAGGTCCATTTAGTCGCTGTAATGGAGCTTTCTATCACGTCACAAAGTTGACGGTAGCTGACAATTTCTGACAAACAGTCAACATGGATGAGAAGTCCCAGAGGTGCTCAGAGTCACGAAACATCTACAGCTCTGTGTTGAATAGAAGGCACTGGACAGTGATGAGGACAGTGTGATGTGACTGAAAGCTCCAGTACAGTTACTGTGGATCTTAAGGGGAGATTGTTTTGTCAAACTGAAAAGCTGTATTCCAGCTGGTGGAAAATGGTTTCATACTAAATGGAAGGTCATTTTCACTGTATGTTTTTCTCTAGATTATATCCACTGAAATGTTGTTTTTGGTATGCAGTGGGCTTATTTTAATGTTATGCCTTCATGTAATATTCAGATTTGTTTTTCAGAATATGATTTTCCATCCTGTTGTACTTCCACCCATTAACTATATTAGTGTCTCTATCCAGAAATCATGACCATTGACCCAGCTAATGTTACAGCTCAGCTTAGGAGGACCCATTAATGGTTACATCTTGCGCTATTATGAGGGCAAGCCTCTGGTTCAAGAGTAGATGGACGCTTCCTTCTGTGCAATGATACAATTGGTGGGTGTAGTCTGGTAGAAAGGAAATAGCTTCTAAATGAAACTGCTCACAACAAGGTCTGTGGATTATCTTGAGGAACCAGGTCATGATATCTGGAAAGAGACACTGCTGTTGAATTTTTCAAATATATATTTTTTGGAGCTTTGTGCACCTCAAACCGAGTGCCATCTATTTCCATTATATTGGAGAGAAGGCAGACATCTCTACGGCTGACACTCAGCAACTCATAACAAAACGATCTGTATTAATAATTAGCACAACAGGAAAATTACATAATTTAAATTTTGGGATGAACTGCCCCTTTAAAGGACCAGTCAGACATTACAAATCCCATGAAAAGTCCAATGCCTACAACATTTTAGTTTGTCTCAGTCTTTTCTTCAGACTTCCTGAGCTTGTCTGTGGTACTCTGAAGATGTGACTCCTTAAAAACAAACAGGAGTGATGCATTTTTTTTGTGTACAGCAGCAGAAGGATGTGCTCATGTTCATGGTAACAAAGCAAAATACCACGTAGTGCAACAGTGTTGGTCACTAATGTGCTTTTTGTAGTTTTTATACAACAATTGAGGAATAAATGACATCAAGTAATACTTGTTATTAGGATCAGTTCATTGTTGGTTTTGGTCTTTTCATGAGATTTGTTGAAAATAAGAAAATATAAAATATTACCAGACCTATCAGTTAATACATAAATTCATAATTTATATTGGACCCTCTGGAAAAGCATGAAGGTATCAGTTTACATGCCAGGTAAGTGAATTAAGATCGGTACCTGATGCTGACAGGCTCATGCAGGTAGTATTCCCTGTACTGTATAAGCAGGTGCCAGAAGGTTTGCCACAACATCTGGACACCAAACACCCAGGCGTGGACAGAGCTGGGATCCACAGAGCAAACGAGCAGGATAAAGAGGAAAGTTGAGGTGAACAGGAGCAAGCTGTAGATGCCCATCGTGAAGACCGCTAGGACGCATCCTCCAAGACAAACATACAGGTACCTGTAGATAGAAACTCATGTTGACAATCACAGCTGCAACAATTAGTTGATAAGTTTGTCAGTTGATATATAGAAAATTAATCAGTAACTATTTGATTAGTATATAGGATGTTCTTTTTTTTAAAAGATATTTTCTGGGGCCTTTTAGCCTTTAATGTACAGGACAGACAAGCGTGAAGGGGGGAGAGAGAGAGAGGGAGTGACATGCAGCAAGGGGCTACAGGCTGGAGCCGAATCTGAGCCGCCGCGGCAACAGCCCTGCACATGGGGCGCCCGCTCCACCACTGGCGCCCCATATAGGATGTTCTTTAAGCAGATTCTCAAACATTCTTATTTGTTTAACATAATTATAAACTGAATATCCGTCGGTTTTAGACTGTTGATCTGACAAAACAAGATATAATGACATCAACAAGGACTCATTTTCCACTATTTTTTGACATTTATAGACCAAACAATTAATCAGGAAATTGATCTGCAGATTAATTAATAATGAAAATAAATGTTAGTTGTACTTCAATTGATAAGTTAGTGTGAGGTGACTTATTTAAGATTTGTAAAGTCAATTTATTTTAAATAATGTATTTAAAAACAACAACATTTACCAAATTGCTTTATGGGAGAAGTACAAAATACAATTAGATAAAAACTAAAAAACAGATATGAATTAGAAACACGAGTATAAAGCAATGTAAAAAACAAATAAACAAAAGTTTCGCCAGTATTGTATCCCCTGTTAAATATTGTGGTTGTGCTATTTGGACTGGTTATTTCAAATTTCATTTGATTTACATATCAAACTTCATGAACCTATTGAAATTAAAATCCGAATAGATAGAACAGATCATGGCTTCACAGAAAATTGTGACTAATTTTAGAGTATTAAAGCCATAAAATACACTAATAAGTCACTTAACATATTGATTTTAATGTGTGGTTTAATAACAAAAATCAATTAATAGGTTTGTAATTACATACCTGTATGTCAAGGACAGATATCCCCGTTTAGCAAGGAAATAAAACAGAAATGCGAATGGAAGTGAAAAACACTGGTGCATCAAAAACTGATGTTGTTCCCACAACCAGCTCATCAAACCCATATCTGATTCTGAATATCACTGACAGAAGAAGAGCGCCGCTGATAGCAGATGTTTCTGCTGGTTGTCCTATAAAAGAGGAGAAATACTTGTTTAACCTGAACCAACTGTGTTTACCATTCCTCCTGTGACCTGCATTAAAGTAATCGCTTTTGTTTACCATCATCACACAGTATTGGTAATAGTTATTCCTTTTGTTTAACACTGTCAGTATTGACAGATACAGAAGCTTTTTATCAAACATATTTTAGCAACTGTAGCAACCAAGAGTCTTTTTTGTTTGTCCAAATCAAACAAATAGCAACTCAGGAAGTCTGTTTTCACTCGGTCCCACAATCACGATCTTAATTTGTATTATGGGCCTGGTTGACTGATTTTATACGTATTGCTTTTCATACTTCAGGCCTTTAGTTAAATCCTGACTCAAGAAGGATTTACAAGCAACTGTAGCCATTTATTTGTGTAACACTTTAAAAAACAACAATCAGTGTAAACAAAGCGGGAGATAGAAAGGTCAAAGATAAAAGTAGAGGTCAAGGACCAGCACCTGTGACACCTGTGACACTGCTTACCCCAACGATGGACAGCACACTCTTGAAATGTGTCTTTAAATTAACAGTTAGTTAATGTAATTGATACTAGAAATAAGACACAAATATGAGTGACCTTTTCCCCTAGATTACCAAAAAATGTGATTTTCGTTTTTTTCTTCATAAAAATGAAGAACAAAGAAAAGTTGTATCGATAAATACCAAGTTACATATTACAGTTCACATCTATGCCACTTGTGGAATATTTGATATACATCACAACTTTTCCTAAAAGCCTGCTCACCATATATTTAATATTATAAATTCTGTCACTGTTAAACTGTCTGTAGCCACATGATGCTCATATTCTACTGACCTCATTTGACCCGACTTTCATGCTAACCTGTATTTCCGACTGTTTGGATGGTGACTAATGTTTTCTATTGCGTAAGAGCAAGACTATGATTGTCAATCAGTATGTTTCATAGTATTATGCCACACTTTGTTGATAATAAATATATATAAAGGTCACAGCACTGCTCAAGGAAACATTTAATCATCACACTATAACACAAGTCAGTTAAACTTCGGGGATATCAATCTGTTTGGAAGCACAAGTGATTGTGAATCAGTTTCAGCTGCTTTGGTGCAAATCAAAGTGACAACAGGTGCAATGGAGAGGCAAAAGCTAGACAACTCCCAAAAAAGGAATGTTTTTTGTTGTTGTTTCAGTTATTTTTATTGGAGACCAGCATTTCACAAGTATCAAATACAAGATACAAAGTTGATTCACAGCTGTTTCCCCACTTTTTTAAATTTATTTTTTTTATTTTTTTTTAATACGGTGCATTAGAACAGAGAACTAGAAGAAGAACATCCCCCAGGAACAAAGAGGGAAAATAAAATAAATAAAAATAATAAATAATAATAATAATAATAATAATAATAATAATAATAATCAATTAATAGGTGAAGATAAATTGGTAAATAAATAAAAAGAAGAGGAAAAGAAATAAAATAAGATATAATATAAAGGGAGGTGAAAGAAAAAAATAAAATAAATAGATAATAAATAAAGGATGCCCCGTGTGCTCACTATAAAAATAGATAAAATAAAAAAAAATTGGATGCATCAAATCAATTCACTTGGGGTCCAGAGAGGTAAGGGTCTTTACATATGTGATGAGAGGTTGCCATCTTTTATAAAAATTGGCGGCTGAACCTCTTAAGGAATATTTAACTTTTTCCAATGACAGAAAGGAAATTAAATCACTTAACCAATAAGTAGTAGGAGGGGCATTTGGGCTTTTCCAATGTAACAGAATACGTCTGCGGGCTATGAGCGAGGCAAAAGCGACAACATCAGAGTTTTTCTAGTGAGACTAGTTGATGTACGAGGTACACCAAATATGGCTATCAGTGGGCAGGGTTCCAACATGATATTGAGGGCTTAACGTTTTAAAAAAACAAGACCAGATATTAACTAGTTTGGGACAAAAAAAAAAACATATGAACATCATCTGCCAGAGATGAACCACATCTATCATAGATATCATTCATGCCTAGAAACAGCCTATTGTGCCTTTTGTGGAGGACCTAAAACTGAATTAAACTAAGACGAGCGCAAGAAGATGTAGAATCAATCCTGATTAGTGCCTCTTTTCACCACTCATCTGTCAAATCAAAGCCAAGCTCCCTTTCCCAACTATGCCTGACCCCCACAAGGGAGGTCACATTCGAAGATGATATGAGGTCAAATAATACTGAAATCCTACTACGAGCCATTGGAAGAGAGAGCACCTCAGTGATAAGAGATCCCATTTGAGATTGAGGGAAAGATGTGAAGTGTGTGCAAACATAATTGCACACTTGGAAAAATTGAAACATATGAGATTTGGGTAAATTATATTTAACACAGTGATCATTAAATGTAACAAATAAGCCCTTTGAATATAAATCTGAAAAACAAACCAGGCCTCTCTCTCACCACAAAGTGAAAGCTGTGTCTGAATTGGAGGGGGTAAAGAAATGATTGTTGCAAATAGGGCTTAATGGGATGGGTGCTGAAAGTTTGAAGTGTTGCCTGAATTGTTTCCAAATTTTCAAAGAGGAAAGTACAATTGGGTTTTTGATATAACTAGGATAACGAGAAGCTAGAGGGGCACAAACCAGAGCAGTTTAGCTGCTTTGTTTACCGGAAAACACTCACTTTTACTGATGTTTAACTTATAACCAGAGAATGATCCAAAAGTTGTCAAGATTTGTAAAATATCATCTACACAGCTAACTGGGTTGGTGACATATAGCAACAGGTCATCAGCATAGAGAGACACTCTATGTTCCAGTCCAGCTCTAAGAATACCAGTGAAACATGAAGAAGATTTGAGAGCAATGGAAAGAGGCTCTGTTGCTATGGCAAAGAGCAGAGGAGACACTGGGCAACCCTGGCGGGTCCCTCTTGACAGGGGGAAATATTCAGACCTTTGAAAGTTAGCTGTCACACAAGTGGATGGGGCAGAGTATAAAAGTTGTATCCAAGAAATAAATTTAGACCCAAAGCCAAATTTCCCCAAAACAGAAAACAAACAGTCCCATTCAACCCGATCAAAGGCTTTCTCTGCATCTAAAGATATAACCATTTCAGCAGCTTTGGATGTGTGAGGAGATAACACAATATTTAAAAGTCTCATTAAACATGTCTAATAACAAAGGAGTAAGTTGGTGGGAAAACTTTTTTTTAAAAGTCAGCCGGGAATCCATCTAACCCTTGAGCTTTGTTAATCTGTAGTAATTTAAGACAATTAAGTTAAGACAATTAATCATTTCTTCCAACTGTATAGGTTTTTCCAAATCCTCTTTAATATGAGGATCTATGGTAGGTATATCTATGCTATCTAGGAAATTATCCAGTGTAGTCTTATTTGCAGGAGATTCAGATTGATAGAGGTTATAATAATAGGAAGTGAAGGTGGAGTTTATTTCAGCTGGGCTGGTAGTTAGGGAGTGAGAGGAGTCATAAATTTGGGATAAGAAATTAGAGGTTGACTGACGTTTAAGTTGAAGGGCGAGGAGACGGCTGGCTTTATCACCATATTCATAGTATGTCCCTTTGGTCCATCTTAAAAGGTACTCTGCTTTATCCGTAGAGAGCAGGTCAAAATCATTATAATTTGACCCTTTTAGCATACAGTTATGGACTGGGAGAGCTTGAATACTCTATGCTGAGAATTGCATCAATAAGCTCTTGCTGTTTTTGTTTATTTTTCCTAGCCAGATGTGTGCTCTATGAGATAATATTTCCCCTAGTTACTGCTTTTAAAGTTTCCCCATAACAGAGAGGGCAATGAAAATCACAGAACTCTTTCTTTAGCTAGTAGCCCTGTATTAAACTTCCACTGTCTTGTAGTGTTAGGTGAGAGTGCTAAATCTAAAATGTGTGGAGCATGATCAGAAATAATGATAGCAGAATATTCAGTGGATTTCACAGCAGGTAGAAGAGCCCTGTCTATAAAAAAAATAGTCAATGCGGGAATAAGCTTGGTGTACTTTTGAGAAATAAGAAAATTCTTTTGTGAATGGGTGGAGCAGACGCCAAGCATCTATACAGCCTAACTGACTCATAATAGATGATAGTGTATTCGACATGGAAGAGGGTATAAGTACTTTCAGATGGGATCGGTCAAGTTTGGGATCTATTACTAGGCTCACGTCTCCCCCTAGAATGAAATGGTGAGTGTCCAAATTGGGAATTTTTGAAAAAAGGGAAGTCATAAAATGTGAGTTGTCCCAATTAGGGGCATAAACATTAACCAATACAACTGAAGTTTGATATAATGTCCAGCAAAAAAATAAAGATAAAGATAATAGTCCCAAAAGAATCACTAAGTCATATACATCGGTGGTCATTCCGCTAGCTTGGTCCCTCTTTCATGTGTTGCATATGCGTTCTTCATAAAACAGCTCTGCTTGCTCCGGGGAGTCAAAGATGTGGCTCACACCGTTGAAGGTGACGCGCAGCCGGGCAGGGTAAATCATGCCAAATCGTATCCCTTTCTGAAAAAGCATGGATTTCACCTGGTTGAAAACAGCTCGCGTCTTCGCCACTGCAGCACTGAAGTCCTCGTAAATTTGATGCTATGACCCCGATAGGTCATATTGTGGTGCTCCTTTGCCCATAGTAACACTCCTTTTTTTCACAGGGCGGGATCCTTGACAAGGTTTGGATCTGAGACTACGATGGGCCCGGTCTAGTTCAGGTGTGGAGTTCGATAGCGCCTCTGCAGCTACTTCTTTGAATAAATCTGCCATAAATTGTCTCGGGTTATTACCTTCAATGTCTTTGGGCAGACTAATCACTCTTAGGTTCTGACGCTTTGAACGAGACACCAAGTCCTCCACGGCAGCCTGGAGAGCACAGCGCTCTTCAGTTATCGAGGTTAGCTTGGAGCATAGCTCCACTCCGTCTTGCTCCAGGCTTGTGATGTTATCTGAATGGGTAATGAGGGCCGTTTCCATCTCCGAAATTGTAGAGGTGTGTTAAGCCACAGTGGTGGTAATGGACTCAAGAGCCGAATTAATTGGAGCGAGGGCCGCATTCAGGGAGGCGGTGAGCTCTGCAGTGGTGCTTTTCCTAGATTTCTCCAGTTCAATGATGAGTGTTTCCAAAGTAAGGGGAGAAGGCCCTGACGCCATGTTGCTCGCTTCCCGACCAGAGAAGGGGAGAGTCTGTTGCGACTATGACAGTTCAGTCCTAAAATTAGATTTAAAAAATCGCAATATACTGAATCGTAACCCCTGTGTCTTTGCCAATACACAGCCCTACATATAAGGTATGTTTTCTTGTCTTAGAATTTAGGATTTATTTCGGTCTGCAAATAGAAATAAGAACATCATGTGTTAATCTATAAATTCATGTAAATAAAGTCACAGCCTCTCACAAAATGGCAGATACTTCAATAGTACAGTACAAAACTTTACAATAAAGTAATGTAACCTAACTTAGGCACTGTTGCTGTCCGAAAAAGGTGTAGGCTTATAACACTGACCCTTTAACAGCACATCATATGAAGCAAGTGACAACAAAACAAACCAAGACAGGCAAACACGGCAAAATAGCAACAAAGACAAAATACAACTCACACACAAAACAACCCTGTTCTTCTATGCCAGTATTACAGTTTGATCATCCATTTTCATATTTGATCAATACGTTATTAAAACCTACTTAATGTTCTACATGTTTTCAGTTCCTCACAACAACTGTTCCATAAACTCACTCCTTTAACTGAGATACAATGTAGTTTGGCATCGGTCCTCGCCAGTGTTTTTTTGGACATAAAGACACCTTTCAAAGCATGTTGACTTTCTCTCTTTTGAAACATCTTTTGGATACTTTCAGGTAATAATTGTCTTTTTACATAATTGTACATCATTTTTACATAATTGTACATAATTTGAGCTGTTTTAAAGTTGACCAAATCTTCAAATTTAAGCATCTTACATAGAAAATAAGGGGCATATTCATTTACATCCTCTTTTCCATCTTATTCCCTAACTAACACAGAATACATTCTCCACACTTGCGAGGAAAAAAACAAAACAAACAAACAAAAAAAAAAAAAACCCCAAATCCAGTTCAAAACAGTCCGCTCCTGAGGGCCTGGTCCGCCTCATTTCCAATATAATCCAGAAAAGGGTCCCAAAGGTGAAAAACGTGAACGACTGCTCCTTGAGCCAGAAGCTCATAGTTAAGTAATGCTCTGGATCCAATATGAAATCATAGGGACAGTATCTGAAATCCACTGAAGAAGAACACACCTCCTTGCACTAAAAAGTAGCACCTTAAGCAGCTTCAGTAAAGAGGGGCTTAGGTTCAGGGCTGCTGACTGTATCCCAAGAATGCTAGAGTCTCTGTATGAGGTATTCACAATTCTTATGGCTCTCTTGTGAAGTATGAAAATTGGACTTGTATCTGTTGCATGTATTTCCCCACACTTCCACACAATGAGTAATGTGTGGCAAAATAAACGAACATTAGTTAATTGTAAAATAGAAATGAACAAACTCTGTGGTTATTCCATTAACCCCCTGAGACCCTGTGTCCTCATATGAGGACATCACATTTTCGGTTTACTTGAGCTTATACTTCATTCCACTTAACTTAGGCCTGTTAGTCTACAGCCAGTCCTGACACAAACGTGGACAAGAGCCAAAACCTGATCACATTTTATGATCGGAACTTGTTTATTTATGATTAATAATGTCTGCAGATTGATATGACAACAATTTTGACCAATTTTAGCAACTGTAACAAGATAAGACACTTGAAGACAGTCTGCTTTGAGGACATTGGGACTTAATTCTTGTCGACAATGTGACGTTTTATTTACTTATCTGGTCCTACTGATCCCAAATAGCTAGAGGAAATTACAAATGCATATCTAACAATAGGCGCAGGAGGTTAAGGCCACTTTATTGGCCATTGGGTAAAAGCCTAGCAGGTCTGAGTGTACAGTCCCATATTACCCTCTTGCCCTCACACACTATCACTGAGCACACCCAGACACTCAGGTTGGACTTTGAAAGTGTAACTTGCCCCTGAAACATCTCTTCTTTCTTGTTTCCTCCTCCTGACCAGTGCAGGGTGGGCACGTGAGAAAGTTAAGCAGCTGTTTGACCGGGGCTCGTCACTGCGTCACGCAGCGTCTCTGCTCTGATTGGTCCGCTCTTGTGCAACTGTGCAGTTGTATAAACTCTGCAGTTTGAAGGAGTTGGCAGAGTCTCCTGCAGGGATCGCATCCGTGTCAGTGGGGGGAAACTCTGCCGCGCGAGGGGAGGAAGAAAAAAAAGAAGAGGCTTCACCAGTTTCTGCGGACTTGTCTTGCAAAGTGATTTAGAGATGCAGAGCTGCGCCAAGTCCTGGGGGATCTTCTTGGCCAAGTCGGTGAATCCCAGCGCACCGTGCAGGCGTCTGAGTGACAAGAGCCGCGTGGTTTGGAAACTTCAGTGCAGGATCCGAAATAGCGGGGCATCCCTACCGACAGCAGCCCGAGGTCTGAGGACGTCTGCGGCCGTCTCCTCCAGACAGATAGAGAGAATATTACCCAAACATGATGATTTTGCAGAGAGGCACATTGGTCCAGGTGAGAGGGAGAAGAGAGAAATGCTGGATGCTCTGGGAGTCGAGGTAAGATTTACCACTCATCCCCCCACCACCACAATTGGGCGCAAAACCACCTTTTCCTTCTTATTAAACCAAATCTGAACATGAAAACATGTCATTTGAGCAAATTGCTGCTATTATTAATCAATAACAGTCATTTTCTGCGCGCTTTTATATATTAAAATGCTTTTTTTGCAGTCGATCGACCAGTTGATCGAAAACACGATTCCAGCCTCCATCCGCATGCAGCGGAGTATGAAAATGGATGATCCAATCTGTAAGTTTACCTTTATTTGAATATATTTATCACTGATACATCCTTATGTGACATCCCAATGGCGAAACCCTGCATGATCAGCCCGGATGCCATTGTGCCAAACCCGATTTAAAATGCCAGATATAATAAAAATGCATATAAAATAACATATATAAAAACAGTGTGTTTATCCCCCTCGTCTCCAGCTATTTTGCACGGTGAGGTTTTTCCCACATGAAAACGGGCAGTTAAATGAAGCCAAGTGAGTGGCTGGAATGTAGGTTGCACCTCTATTGTGTGCCGTGGAGCGCTCTCCCCTGTTAAGTCTTCCTTTGAACATATTTGGAGTTGTTTTTGCGAAACTCGGCGAGCGGCACCAATCTCCTGTTGGGAAGCCGCCGATGCTCATAGGATGGCAACTGGAGTGTAAAGTTTAGCCTTGAGCTCCGGTCCCAAGTCCAGTTCAATCTGGTTACAGCGTTCACATTACATCACAGCCGAGGGGGTTCCTAATAAGGTGACTTTTGCGTGGGGATGTGTGTGTTTTCTCCCTTTCCTCCTATGCAATATGTGTCAGCTCCACATACACAGTCCCTCTTTTGAGGGAGTTTGTTTGAGCTGATTTCACAAGCTGGAGACTGAGAAATGATGGGGGTTTCATCAGGAGGGGTTTCCAGTAAACAGTGGAAGAGATTAGGCAATGAATTAAAGTAAATTGGCTTTAGCAGCAGATACAGCAGGTGCTTTTGTCAGGGAAAGATGAATAAATGATGACTGACTGCATGGATTGTTTGTCATTTTTTGTTTTAATATTTTAATGTTTATATCTCAGGTACTAGTGTTAAACAAGGTAGCATAATGCACATTTCATTTCTACTTTATTTTATTTATTGCTCTATATTTACACACTTTTATTTCATACTCTTATTCTTACGTATTATAATCCTCTATTCTTTACATGGGAGCATCTGTAACAAATCACAATTTCTCCTCAGGGATCAACAAAGTATTTCCGATTCTGATTTTGAATAATCTGTGTTTCTAAATGCAAATAGGTTTCTGCTTGGAGGGAGGCTTATGTTAATTTGTTGAACTGGGGCTGCTGTTGTGTGCAGACGTGCAAAACTAAGAATAAAGTAGAGCTGAAATGATTGATCTTTAAGTTGGCAACTGTTAAATTGATCATCAGCTAATTTTATATTATACAGTTAATCAGTTTGAGTAATCTTTTAAGAACAAAAAGGTCAAAACCTCTGATTCCAGCTTCTTAAATGTGAATATTGTCGAGGATGTCATCTTGGGCTTTGGAAAACACAGATCAACATTTTTCACCACTTTCTGACGACTAATCTTTTAATAAACAATGAAAATTAGTTGCACCACGGGTAAAATCAATTAATATGTCTCATGATAACCCAATTATATACAATATTACATTCAAAACAGTAAATTCAATGAAATCTGCTCAATTGATATGACTCAAAACTCTTTAAATATGGAAAATAAAGCCTTTAATTGGTAAGTTTATGTATTTTTACAGTTACAGTTTGCTTAAAAATAGCAGAATTTTGTTAAACAACATAATAAGTGCTGCATCTAACCATTATTTCCATCATCATTTAACCAAAACAAAACAATAAAAAATTCCTGTTACTATTTCTTAAAACCGAAATGGTGTGTTTTGACTGACCAATGGCAGAAAAAGAAAAAAAAAAAATTACTATCACATAGCACAAAGAAAATCAGCGAATTTCACAAGCAAGGAGAAAAACACTTTCATTAATCAATCATGACTTTGATAAATTGTCAAAATTGTTACATTTTATGTCGACTGATTAGCGGATGTCTCAGCTTTAAATATAACCATGTCACAATATGATACCTCTGAAAGTGGATAAACTACGATATTGATTCGAGACCCAACCCGAGCACAGACATTCCTACATGATCTGTTTAACGTGAGCTGTGCTGAGGCATCTTGTGTGTGGTGATAAATAAATGCTGACATGTAATGACTCTCTTGCATGACTCTGCAACCATGAACTCCCGTCACTGATGTGACAGAGACCTGACACAGTCAGCTTTAACACCAGAGATCCTACAGAAAATCCAACATTTAGAAAAGAGCATTGTTAAAACAGCAGTTACAAATCCTCAGGTACTGAAGCGTTTCTCTATCACCACCTAGTCACTCTGCTCCGCCCTCGTGTCAGCCCCTCCGCTGACTCTGTCAGGTTTCATAATGCAACAAGCCATGCTGAAGGAACAAACTGGAGGCAGTGCTGGTTTTCTGCTTGTTCAGCTTTGGAGGGCTTCAGTTTGCAAAGCCAGGGAGGGATTCTCTCTTCAACAATAGACCTCCTGGATGGTTCTGAATCAGGCTTTTTTGCTGCCCTGTAGAACTCCGGGACCATGGGAAAGCAGTCCTCCCTACTGACACAAACTCGCACACAAAAATACACACTAACATCTCACCCTGAACCTGTTGATTATCACTGCTTTTTTCAGTTTCCTGTGCTGTATTTGGCTGATTCACACCGCCAGACTGAATGTGCACGGTTTAGCCTTTACAGAAAGCTGTAAATATCCACTTGTGTACTGGCTACAGTCCCTCTCACCACCAAAGACTTAGAGGTGTCTTTCTTTTCCAAAAACAGGAGTAGTCAGGGCTCTCGGTTCAGACGGGCAGCATTGTCCATTCCTTGGAGTTGCTAGGCAGCCAGGAAGGCCAGAGGAATCTCAGAGGCTGGTTGTGCATTGGCAGAGCTTCCTTACAGCACCAGGGAATGGGGCTAAATAACTGAAAGAAACCATGGCTGTAGTCCGTCTCTTGATGTTTACTTCTGAGATTGACAGAAATATCTTATGTGCATTGTTGTCTCATCCTAAGTTCAGCTGTAAGGTATTTTTCCTGTCTCACAGCACTCGTGACCATTTTGTAGATGAGAGCATGAGGTCAGGGACTGTTTGTGACTTAATGTCATTGATCACACTGAAACTCAGGCTTTCCTAATTACATTTATTTAATTTGGTCATGTGCATCCATAGCAGGTTATGATAGAGTTATAATATTTTATATTGTGTGAAGTTTCTGTAAATTTGATTTGAGAAAGTCTTGATACACTCAAACAAAGAGGAATTTCTGGTTTTTGGTAATCAAGTGAATTTAAATAAATACCTATAATAGGGAATGGGAATTGTGGAGCATTCTGGGGTGGTGCCACCAACTTGAAAGGAAATTGTCCATAGCAAAAAGGAGCGAAATAGCAAGGAGCAACTGCTTGCTGTTGCTTTAGAAAAAGGTTGGAGGTAAGCGAAGCCTCTCCAAAATAGAGCCAGGGCGAACAGTTTTTCAAACAAGCAACTTCATTGGGAAACACAAAAACAATTTGATGTGCATTCGCTTGTTCTCATCACATCTAGGTAGGAAGAGGCGTAACCCTTACTATCCAAAATTGCCGACTTGCTGTTGATGATGACACATTTCCATTTTAAGTGCTATATCGTAGGCAACTGGACTTGATTTTCTTGAGGATGTTTCACCTCTCATTCAAGGGGCTTCTTCAGTTCTCCAAAAGTTCTTAGAACTGATGAAGCCTCTTGGATGAGAGGTGAAACGTCCTCAAGAAATTCAAGCAAGTCCAGTTGCCTACAGTATTGCACATGACCTGAATGACTGAGAATCTTCACCGGCTGATTTCCATTTCCATCAGTTTTTGGATTTTCTTGTTCGGTCATCCAACCCTATCATGTAGTGTCAGGCCAAGTAAAGCAGAGACCAGAGGACTAAATTATACTCACAGATTAAATATTTTACAGGTGAGAACGAGGTTTTGGACACTCTACAGAAGATTGCAGCCAAGAACAAAGTATGGAGGTCCTACATCGGCATGGGCTACTACAACTGCTCAGTACCACCGCCCATCCAGCGTAATCTTCTGGAGAATTCAGGCTGGTGAGTGTCTTCAGGTGACTCTCCCATAGAGGAAACTTAACAGATTTTTAAAAGTGCAGGGAGCTTGTTTCCTCTTACAGATAACTAACGATGTTTATTTACAAAGCTTGGCGACTCATTTAAAGCATAATTGTTGTGCTGTCGTGCCCTTAATAGGAATCCTTGTGACTCATGTGAGATCTGATAATGTGCTTTTCTCTTGTTTCCTGCTGAACAAGATTTTCTTTCACCCAAATCCAAATCAGCCATCCTTGCCCACGTTTTCTTCAAAATCCCAGGATTGGGGTGGGGGGGGGGAGTCATACAATGCATTCCACTGTCCCATTTTGCTTCCTTGAATACCACCAACTTGGGCTATTGTCCTCTGAAACTGTTGTCTCATTGTGTCTGTGTTGTTCTCAGGGTGACTCAGTATACACCCTACCAGCCTGAGGTCTCTCAAGGTCGCCTGGAGTCGCTTCTCAACTACCAGACCATGATCTGTGACATCACTGGCATGCCTATGGCAAATGCCTCCTTGCTCGACGAGGGAACGGCTGCAGCTGAAGCCATGCAGCTCTGCCACAGGTATTTACAAGCTGATGACAAACACAAACAATGGCATGGAGAATCATTACTACTACCGCTCCCACTGTGTTGTAAAATAATTATATGTATTAAGGGTAATTACTGTTACAGTTTGTGAATAAGTTGTATCTCAGCCTGTATTTTTTACTCCTGACAGGCAAAACAAAAGAAGAACCTTCTACATTGACCCACGTTGCCATCCCCAGACCATTGCTGTGGTGCAGACCAGAGCCAAGTATGTATTACACATGCTAAATCAATGTATGAGCTCCTTATAAAGGAATCCATATAGTGAACACCAAAACCAAAAAATATTTCATTTCATTAAATACCACTGGGCTAAAACCACGACAGCTTTTCTTATAGAGGTGCTCAGTGCTTTACCTTTTTATCATTATTTAGCTTTATTTCTTAGTTTCCCTGTTGTGTTGCAGCTACATCGGGGTGAAAACACTGCTGAAGCTGCCTCATGAGATGGACTTCAGTGGGAAGGATGTGAGCGGTGTGCTCTTCCAGTATCCTGACACCGATGGCAGGGTGGAAGACTTCACAGCCCTCGTGGACCGGGCGCACAAGGGAGGGGTAAGAGAGTTTTAACCACAAAAACAAGTAATGGTGTTTTTACACCTAACATGTTTGGTTCAGTTAAAACAAACTCAGGTCCTTTTGCCTGGGTAAGACCGCCTGAGAAGGTGGGTTTCTGGTACAGTCTGTGTGGGGTGTGAAAGCGAACCAACCAACCACAAGATGTTATGATGGCAGATATGTGATTTTAGCTACTAATAAATCCGTCTGCTGATTGTGAAATCTGTCCACAGTCTTATAATTAATCTGTATAAAGTCATGTGTATATCCTATACCTGCAAATCATGCTTTGGTAACCTCAGTAACGCGTCAGCACGAGTATTTTTCCTGATTAATACATCAAAAGCTGTTAAAACAGGGCGCCCATTAGCTCGCCTGGTAGAGCAGGTGCCCCATGGACAAAGGCTTTGTCCTTGCTGCAGCGGCCGCAGGTTCAATTCCAACCAATGGCCCCTCACTGCATGTTATCCCCCCTCTCTTCCCCCCTTGATGCTTACACAGTGTCTTAGGTTTGCAACTGTAGTTTTGTTTGTGTCCATATCTGATATCTGAATTGCAATCTAAAGGAAATCATCGGATGCTCCTTTTCACAGCAGCTCTGTTTAAAGGTAGGGTCTGGAGGATTTTCCAGTTGCTGTTTGTAAACACACATTCAAATTTGGCCCCTCCTATCAGGCTCAACTCTCCCGAGTGTACGGAGCCCTGAGGTTCGGAAGAAAGCTTCACAGAAGAGGTTCGCGCTGGTGCTCGGGCACGCTCGGGCATGCTCGGGCACGCTCGGGCACGGCACCTGCGCTCTCTCATTGGCTGGGGAAATCTCCGCCCAGAAGCTGTCCCAGCTCACAAAAACATCAAAATACAGTTAAAGGGCAGGAGCTCTGCAAACAGAGTCACCACCACACATGAGTAGAAGCCCATAGGTGATTATTAAGCAGGATATTATTTGTATATGTCTATATTTTGTTTTGTTTGAAAATCCTCCAGATCCTACCTTTAAAGTTTTATGCTGATGACACTGTAGTATATTTACATCAAGATAACACTGGTTTTGTGCAGATTTAATGGAGGGGTGGGATGTGCGTAAACCTCTATCAAGATATGGTTGGACCATTATTTTACAGGAACTGCTCATTTCTGATGTATATGTGTGATAAGGTACAAACTAGCTGCTGCAGATTAGTCAGAATATTTGTCATTTTTATGAATGACGATGAACTTCATCCATTGACTCGGTTCTTTCCCTGTCTAGGCCCTGGCATGCTGTGCCACAGATCTGTTGGCCCTCTGTGTGCTGCGTCCTCCTGGCGAGTTTGGCGTAGATATCGCCCTGGGCAGTTCCCAGAGATTTGGGGTTCCTCTCTGCTACGGTGGTCCCCATGCTGCCTTCTTTGCTGTGAAAGACAACCTGATCCGGATGATGCCTGGCAGAATGGTTGGAGTCACCAGGTGAGACGCTCATCAGTCAGAATAACTTGGAGGGAAGTTCAGTATACACTTTAGAAGAGGATGGGGCTTCATATTACAACCAGTGGCAGAAACTCAAAAGTGTCATTTGGAAATATTTACATTTCAGGGACGCGGCTGGTAAGGAGGTGTATCGGCTTGCTCTGCAGACCAGAGAGCAGCACATTCGCAGAGACAAGGCAACCAGCAACATCTGCACCGCACAGGTACGACCAGGCTTACATTTTGTAGATTTTCATCATTTCCACAAATACAACAACCAAAGAGAAATAAGGAGTAGCATATTTGTAACCACCATTATGGGAGAGTGTGTTTTTATGTATTTGGAGTTGCTGTCAGTCAGCGAGCTGAATTTGAAGAATTTGAATTTTTTGTCATCTAGTTAACTTTGTTAATTTTCTCATTTTCATCCCTGTTTTTCAACCTCTGACTCTCAGGCTCTGCTAGCCAACATGGCTGCTATGTTTGCACTGTATCATGGTCCTCAGGGACTCAAACACATCGCTGAGAGAACACACAATGCTGCTCTGATCCTTGCTGAAGGTAAGTTTGTTATATTTTGAGCTCGAAATCGAGTTTTCATTGATGCAGCATTGGCATAATTTTCTCGGTGTAGTAATCTTTCACTAATTGTAACATTTATTGGCAGCACATGTGTCATTTCAAGTTTTGCCAACCTTCAATGAGTAAATCTGACACATTGTAGAGAAATGATACAATGAATGACTGGACAAAAAAACAATATTACAGCATTGCAACCTCATGCAAAATGAGGAAAATGCGCCAAAAAAAAATTCTTTCCATTTTCTTTTCCACATCCACCCTCCATGAAAAGATAAACACACATTTATTCAGTTCTGTATGCAACTATTCACTGTGTTTCAGGTCTGAAGAGAGCAGGGCACCGGCTGCACAGTGACATGTTCTTCGACACTCTAAAGATCAACTGCAGCGTAGCAGCCAAAGACATCTTTGAGAGAGCTGCCCAGAGGCAGATAAACCTGAGAGTCTACACCGAGGGAGTGGTGAGAACATTATGCTTTTGGAAAGTCCTGCATGGCAGATTTACCAACCGTTTCACAAACAAAAAGGATCATAATCATCGGGGTGGAACAGTTTTTTAGAAACAATACTTTGCTGTAGCAGTAGCCCTGCAGCATAGTGATACAAAGAGGTACAACCAGATGAAGCAGGAACATAAAGTACAACGTGATGACACAATCCAAACCACCAGAAAATCAACAAATTAAGAATAATTGAAAATAAGATAAAAATAAACAGGAGATGTCAACTCAGTAAGCATGAGGAGGCATTGGTACATATGTTAATTGGGATTGAGATGTTTATAAGGGCTGCCCTCGTCTAAGAATTTTCCTGGTCGACCAATAGTCCTCATTTAGGGCCATTAGTCGACTAGTCCCCCGCATGTTTACGATATTAATTCAATTATTAAATGATATATTTTGCGTGGGGCAACACAATGGTTTGAGTTGAAGGTGTGAGAAAGAATAGTATCAGTAACATTGTTAACACTGTGCTACATTACAGAGAAATACAAAACCGTACTAATGAACCTTCATTAATATAGGCCTATATTTTATCTACAGGTGCACGTCACACACTGAGCGAGCCGCCTGTTAATGACGCTGTGGGCTAATGGGCATGTAGCTACTTCCATGTTTCAGATGATACGTCATGTTTGTAGTCGACCAATGAAGATGAGTTTACATATCACCTTGGGTTCGTCCTTCACCTTCTCAAAATGATCCCACACTTTGGATTTCCTGCCAGACATGTTATTAACTAGCCTGTGGAATAACCGCAGGTACCAGCCCTGGAAATTAAGGGCGGTACACATGCTGCGTCTTTAACCGCCTGGGAAAACGTGAGTTTGGGATTAGGTGCTATTCTTGTGCCTTTTTTTGTGCCAGCTTTCAAGAGTGCGGCAGCAGGTTGCATCTAAGGTTGCTAAGCAACCATAACAAGCACAGCATCATAGCCTATTTACCTGAAATCCTGAGTGCACAGCTGATCTTCTTCCAGGTGCTGTTTATAAGTGTGTATGCCTATCGTCTGTGGGACAGATGTAAAGCTCTGGGTAGCCCTGAACTAACATGATCAACTTTTCTGTGTTTATCAGACTGAATATTTACAGAAGAAGGGAAAGATATCTGTCGGCTGTGATTGGTTTGTAACGTGACTCCTGTCTGACTGCTGAGCGTGGTATCTCTCTGTGTCTGTCCTATCAAATTAAATTCCCACATGATGACCAATAAAATATTGCTGTCTTATGACCTTTCTGGTTGATTAATGTTTGGTTGACTATTAGGGGGCAGTCCTAATGTCTACATAACTGTGAGACAGCTGCCTTAAAGTGTTGTGTTTGTATTGTAATACCTATTCCGAGCATCTTAATTCTGTCCCTGACAGAAACTCCCCATATTATAAAAAACCCCACTAAAACTAATAATGAAACTAAGAAAAACTAAACTAAAAGGAAACATTTTTAAACAATAAAAAGTAAACTGAAACAAGCAAACTCACTCTGGAAACTAAAACTAAGCTGAAATCAAAACAAAACAAAACAAAAACTGAAATAAAGACAAAAAACCTAGGAAAAATACAAACTATAATAACTGTTTTGGTCCCATATTAACAATATTTTCAGAGCTCTTCAGATATTCATTTAGAGGACCTACTTGATAAGACAATCTTACCATTAATAATCCACGAGTAGCCAGTCCCATTTCTCTATGATGTCTCCTTCAAGCTGTTAAAACAAGCTGTTATACTGTACTTGCCTACTTTAGTCAATCTGAAATGATGCACATCGCCAGATTAACATACCATTTAAGACAGAGGCTTTCGTGCCAGAGTCTTGCTGTTGTTAAAAAGAGTTTTTAATAGTTACCATCTCTCCTTCTCTCCGTCAACAGTTGGGTGTCTCTCTGGATGAGACGGTGACTGAGAGGGACTTGGACGACCTGCTTTGGGTCTTTGGCTGCGAATCTTCAGCTGTATGTCGATCATTTTTTACTCATTTATCTGTTGTCATTCATATTTAAGTTTCATTTGTGCCTCTGCTTCAGGGTTGCATAGTGACTGTTACTTTATAGAAGTAGCATTGATGTTTTGAAATGTTAAATTTTCAGGAGCTGATTGCTGAAAAGATGGGAGAGCGGGTTAAGGGGATCATGGGAAGTCCTTTCAAGAGGACGAGCAAGTACCTCACACACCAGGTCTTTAACAGGTTCGTACTCTCAGTTCAGTTGCAACCTTATGGCACACAGTCTATCATGAAACCAAGGATAACAAACTGAACAAATACTTTGCTCTTATTACTTTATGACACCTTTGGCCACAAATATTACAGTCTCATTTTCCATGTTGATTGCCTGGCATCAAACACAGCTGCACACGACACTGTTGTTGTATCACATTACACAGCAGACAACAATGTGGCACTGAGACTTTTCAGTACCAGTTTTCTGGTATGAAGCCCTGCTGCACTTCCTGCTGGTGTTAAATCTCTTTTGGTTGTTGCATGAGAAACAGGTTGATTTGCTTCAGAGCATTTTGTGTACTCTGTTATTTTCATATAATGATTTCATACTGAACATTTACTATCCAAAAACTATAATAATTTTCAAACAACAGTCACGTAATTGACCCATGTTGCCCTTAAGAAACATGCAGCTGGTGTTGGGCCTCATGGTCACTGGCAGTACTTCAAAATCTGGCCTAATTTGTTATTTTAAAAGCATGTGCTGTTCCTCAGTAATTTAATGTGTAACAAGCCAGTTCTGCAGCAGACATGGGTTTGGACAGAGTGAGCCTTTGTAGCAACACAGGCATCTCTGTTGGCTGCCAAAAGTGGAGCATATTATCTTTATTAGTACCATAAAGACAGTCTGGTACCAGGGCTTCTAATGTCTTAAGTCCTCCATTTATTCTTTGACATAATGATTGTGACATGCTTGAAAATTGCTTAGTCAGACTTTCAACTAATACACTTAGTAAGCAGACTACTTAATAACTTTGTATCAGTGTATTGGGATCAACGTGCCCTTGGTTAATCCTGCTGTTGCCTCTCTGGTTGACCTTCAGTTATCACTCTGAGACCAACATTGTGCGATACATGAAGCGCCTGGAGAACAAAGACATCTCCCTGGTGCACAGCATGATACCACTGGTTAGTACTATCAGGAGTCAAATTCAGATTTGCAAACAGTCTAAATGCACATTGCTTCTTATGTGATGGTAAATGTTGTTTTCTTCTTGAGGGCTCCTGCACCATGAAGCTCAACAGCTCTTCAGAGCTCATGGTGAGTAAATCGAGCCACATCTTTAGAACAAATAGACATATTCAGAACTAACGTGAAGGTCTTACTGGAGACTTTGTACATTAAATCCATCATAATAAATCTGACACTTAACGTCTTTTGTGAAAAAAAAAAAAAAAAAGTGAACCTTCAAGCTTAACAGGAAGTAGTTTTGGAAAGGTTGGATTCTTTCCCACTAACCGCTATCCTCTCTTCTTCAGCCAATCACCTGGAGGGAGTTTGCCAATATCCACCCCTTCGTGCCTCTGGACCAGGCTGACGGCTACCAAAAGCTCTTCAGACAGCTGGAGAGGGACCTCTGTGAGGTGACGGGCTATGACAGCATCTCCTTCCAGCCAAACAGGTAACACACACCTTTCTGTTGAGGCACAAATCTCCATATACCAGCATCCAGGTGGTCATAACACCAACTCATCAAGCATTAGTCCCTGATGCATGTTTTGTGATGCTTATTTTGAAATTTTACCTCAAGAAGCCTTTTAGCATCCAAAAGTTTTTTTAACAAAATTTTAAGGCATTTCCTGCCAAAAACATAAGGTTAAACATGTAAATTTTCCCCCTTCTGTAAATGAATTTAACCCCTGATGAGACTATTTAGACTATTTTGATGGATTCAATTTGCAGATGTCCACTGTTCTGGCTGTAAAAAAACATGTGTAAGGTTATAATGATTTACAGATTTGTCACCATGTACTCATTATTTTAACATCCTGTTATCCTTCTTTCCAAAAAAAAATGGTCTTAACCTCTATAATTATGCATGTGTGCTTAGCTTGAGCAGTTATCACAACTCTGAAATGAGAAAAGTGGAAATGAGACCTTTATATATGAAGTGAAAAACCAGGACATTCCCTGTGTTGTCTGGGACTTTGTAGCTGATTTCAGACTTCAGTCAGTATCCAGTAGTCAAATCTTAGGAAGTGAATGCTTCGTATTTCACGTTTCAGCTGATAAAGCATGCACACACCTGCCTCTGCTGTCTATCACCACTTTATCAGCAGCAGAGGGTTTATGAAACGCTCACCATCAAACATTGGCCTGCAGAGTTATCATGCAGCCTGCTTTTCATCCCATCTGTCGCTCCCCTTTTGGTAATGCCTGCAGACTGGTCTTTGAACTGTGCTTAGGTGAGGGTGTGGGTGGGTGTGTGTCTGTGCGTGTGTCTGCATGTGTGTGTGTTGTACATGACCATTGTGTGTTTGTCTTCCAGTGGTGCTCAGGGAGAATATGCTGGCCTGGCTGCCATAAAAGCCTACCTGAACTCAAAGGGAGAGAGCTCCAGAAGTGTAAGTGTGCTGCGTAACTTGGCTGCAGTCATACCGAAAGTCAGTGTAAATTAATGTCATGTGGAAGTTGATAGGTTTTAATTACACTAATAGGAATACTTCAACCACTAAATAATCGTTTGGACATCAGTTACTTTTGATGAAGAAAACTTTTTCTTGCATGTCTCCACGGTGAAAGAAGAATCCAAAAACAGAAAATCCTTGATGAATTGGACTAAAAGGGGTCAACAGCAAATCATCCGTTTACAAACACTCACATGACTCCTGTCCTCCAATCGGTATGCTCAGTACTTCCCAAACACATGCATTTTCACGAAAACCTTACTATTTAAAACACTTTACATAAACAGTATCACACAAGGACAAGTAGCACGCTTGGATAAGCATGATATGCATGTGTTTTGGGAGTATGGAGCATACCAATTGTATTGAACTGCAGGACTCTGGTTAGAGTTTGTAAACATGTTTTGACATAGGTTTGCTGTTGTTAAATGCTGACCCCCTTTACTCCAATTCATCAATAATTTTCTCTGTTGTTGTTTGTTCACCGGAAAGGTAATAGTGAACGGAGAATCCAAAAAGGCGAACATTCATCATGAATTCCGGTCATTGGGGATGGACTTTAACAACAGCAAAACTAAATCCAAGCATCTGTTTCTAAACTCTCACATCTTATGCAGTAAAATCCAAGTCTCATTTATTCAGTCAATGATCAGTACTTCCCAAACACATGCATTCTTGCCAGAGCATGTGAGCGGAGCGGACCGGGTGAAAATTTCCACTCCTCGCTCGCAGACCTGTCACTTTCCGCTCCGCTTGGTTCTGTGCATTCTTTGCTCCGCTCTGGTCCACTCCATCATAACTTTTATCCCGCTCCACTCGCTCACCACTCCGCTCAAAAAAACTGCGTAGTACTACCCTAACCTGTAATCTTCTATTCACAAATAAAACATGAGCTTGGTAGCTCTTTTTCTTGTTCCACATTATCACTATCAGTTAGTTTTACAGGACTGGTACACTTGTATGACTTGTCAGTTTCTTTTCTGAAGTACACAGTAAACTCTGTAGTTTTTAAAGAAAATAGTGTGGGTGTGTGCAGGTGCAAAGATGCATTCTGGGTGGGGCATGAGCGACTGGAGCGAAACTGGAGCGAGAGATACGGTTTCGCTCCACCTTTTAAAAAAAAAATTAAAAAAAAATAGCCGCTCCTCGCTCAACACAAAATCCTTCCGCTCCCCGCTCAGCTCCGCTCCGCTCACATGCTCTGATTCTTGCTAAAATATTATGAGTTAAAACACATCAGTACAGACAGTCTCATGCATGACCGAGTAGTGTGTCTGAGCACACATGCATTTCAACTCCGCTTAAGTGGAGCTGATATGCATGCATGTGGTCATGCACAGAGACTTGGATTATACTGCATGAGTTGTGTGAGAGTTTGTAAACGGATGTTTTGATATAGTTTTCATTCATTCATTTTCCATAACCGCTTATCCTGTAAGGAGTCGCGCGAGGCTGGAGCCTATCCCAGCTGACATCGGGCGAGATGTGGACTATCACAGGGCTGACACATAGAGACAGACAACCATTCACACTCACATTCACACCTACGACCAATTTAGAGTCACCAGTTAACCTGCATGTCTTTGGACTGTGGGAGGAAGCCGGAGTACCTGGAGAAAACCCACGCTGACACAGGGAGAACATGCAAACTCTGCACAAAAGGGCTCCCCTACCCTGTGTTTGAACCAGGAACCCTCTTGCTATAAGGCAATACTGCTAACCACCGCACCTGATATAGTTTTGCTGCTGTTAAACACTGCCCCCCCTTTACTTCAATTCATCAAAACTTTACTCAGTTTTTGGATTCTTCGTTCACTGTCAAGACATCCAAGAAAAAACAATGTCTTCTTCGCATATTCAAGGGAACACAAGGTGAATAATTATATACAAATTATCACTTTGTGGGTGAGGTATTCCTTTAACGTTTCAGCTAATTCTGTTGCCCAGTACAAATTGAACTGATTTGCTTGTTGGGAAGATAATTGGAAGACTGCAGCTTAATCAAAGACACGAAGGGATTTTACAGATCAGAGCTGTCATTCCTTACTGTAGAAACAAATGAGAGAAAAGTTAATTAGTGAGCTTTAGAGGTGCTAGTAGGTGGATTTTGTTACCTTTGAACAGAGCCAATGAGATAAGCTAACTATCTGCTGGCTGCAGCATCACATTTGATACACAGACATGAGAGTGGTATCAATCTCTTATCAAGAAAGTGAGTAAGCACATTTCCCAAACCAAAGGAGCCAAAGCACATAAACCTGGGGCTCCTGAAACTCATGCGAAATGAAATGTATGAAGCCTCAGCTGCTGTACAAACTTTATTCAAAATAAAACTTTAAATCTCTCCTGTTTTTCTAGAAGATTAAAAGTGCTTCTAAAAGCAATGAAGCAATACTTTTATTGCTATTCGTTGAGGTTTGATTATTGTGACCACAGTAATATTGCTGATATCCAAGAATGATTTATGACCAGAAGTTCCTTTGGTTATGCTGACTGAGGTTCATGAAAAACATGAGGACATAAGCCACAGTGCCACAGCCGTAGCCCTATCGGCTTTAGATTTCCTGACAGTTTTATTGTTCCTGGGTTACAACAGGTTACTTTGGCATCACAGGTTAACATGTTTCAGGTATTCTAGTAAGAAATTCCTTCAGTGTCCTGGCATGCTGATTGGAAGCAGCTCGAGGACAAAGCCAGATAAGACGCCCCTTCAGATTAAAGACTGGCTGACTAAAGTATTTTTCCTGTACTTTAAATCGGCCTTCGTTTTTTAATGGCTCCCTCGTTCGTACATCTTAGATAGTGGCCTGATCTCTTGAAACAGTCAAGGTCCAAACTGACAACCGTTTGTGCAAACAAAGGGGCTGAAAACACTGTGATCCCACTATAGGCTACCTGCTTCCAAGATTCCATATTTGGAGGTTTTAAGACTTTGAGAACTGCAAGTCACTGGTGTGACATGCTCTGCAGTGTTTTCTCAGTCAGTCATTTGTCAGTGTTACCAAACCCACAGGTCTAAGTGCCCCAGTTTTTCTTGTGCAAGTTGCATCATGTCAGAAGTGTCGCCCTAATAAGGGATAAAATCAATTAGTGACCTGTTACACAGGTTACACATTAGTGCTAGTGCTGGGTGTTGGCCAGATAGAAAGTTATTGCATATCCTCTCACAGAAACCCTTGATGCACTTCGCTTTGAGTATAAAGTAATTATTTTTTATTTATTTTACAGTATAACAACAGTATCTAATATTCCTTCATGCCAAGCCACTTCTTGTTAGCTTTTTTTGATAGGTAACTAATTATGTTTCAGCTTTAAAGTGTCCATGAAGTTCTTTAGTACTCCTTCCTCAACTCAAGGAGATGAATCATAATAAAGTTCACCTCTTAATATGTTTACTGTTATACACAAATGCATCAAAGCAAACTCCTTGTATGTAAAAACATACTTGGTAATAAACCAGACTTTGATTCTCATTTTTGTCGCCTTAATATGAGGATGTTTTTGGAAAATAAGTGGTCACCCTGCACTCAGAGCCTGAATGGTTATCTTAATATAATAGAGAGGACTTTTGTCAAAATGTTGTTTTGCATGATTTTCATCCAGGCTGCAACTCTCTCCTACTGCATTGATATTTTCTCTTTCACCTCCAGGTCTGTCTGATCCCCAAGTCAGCACACGGCACCAACCCAGCGAGCGCTCAGATGGCCGGCATGAAGGTTCAGGTGGTGGAAGTGGACAAAGACGGCAACATCGACCTACCACACCTCAAGGCGCTGGTGAGAACCGCACTGTTACATTACACTTGTTTCACAGATGATGTTCAATCTACATGTTACAAGGAGAGAGATCAGCCGTATAAGGGCCTGTGTCTACATAGCGTTTTTGTTTGGCAGAGAAGTGGCGGCAGGGCGCTTCATAAAAAGAGCGCTCCCAGTGCTCTTTGTAATGACGTGTTATGCGTGGAATTTGTTTCTATCGCAACAACATCTTGTATTTAACGTTAGCTAATGCTACATTAATGGGGGGCTGAATACACAGTTAACAACAAGATTACAGTGTGTACGGTGATGAAAGCACAACACCCACCAGCAACAGTCAGTGTTCGGCCGATCTGCTCCCACAAACAGGCTTTTCTGTCTTTGTTGTGCTAGTTTCTGAAAAGTTCAAAGATTTTCAACTAGCATTGTCGGAGCACTCTGAACAGAGACACTAGGTGGGGCACTTCTTCTCTATGCTCTCTCCTCATTAGGAACAATGAACTGGGCACTGTTAAAAAGATGCTGGCACTTTCAGACACTATTGAGTTGCGTTATGTTACTTGTAGGATCCAGTGCTTTTGGAGCTTGACACTCACTAATGACTAAAAGTGAGGATAACTCAGCCACTGCTCCATAGATTTTGACCATAATTTAAAAAAAAAAAAAGCATTTTATGAGCTCTCTGACTTAACTTGAATAGTGCAGTCCTAAATTGCTGGACTACCACTTTTATGGATACTGATATACAAGATGAAATATCAACTTTTTTTTTTTTTTTTTTGTAAAGCAGTGTGGATTGCCTGTCACACTGTTGGTGCATGGCCAAAATTTTAAATTCAGTTAAGGTTATTCAGTCTTTAATGTTGGAGTGATCACCTTCTCTGCAGATCACTATGAGTATAGTCACCGTTTCAACATACCAAAGATCCCAGGCCGCTTAGTCTGTCAGGTGTCTTGGTTTTGACACGTTTCTGTACCTTTTCTGAAGGTCCACAGTACTCACATGAGGCAGGGAAAAAGTTGAACAAGGTTTATTGAACACAAAAAAGAAACAAAACGGCAGGTCAAGTCCTTCCAAAATTACAACAAGTACGGTCCACTACCGACTCAATATCCTATCTCTATATATTCTCATCGTATTATGTCTCCTTTTGTCATGCGCACTAAACTGCCTCACAGCACCATACCTGGTGTAAATAGCTTGTGCCTGTATTCTAACACATAAATGAAGTAAATATAAACATGACCTTAGTATAGTCCACTACCGACACTATTCAAAATATAAAGAAACAGTTTTGCAAACTTCAACAATATTTTTGTTTTTTTACCAAATATAAATATTTGTTTAAGTGGCTCTTATCATGAGAGTTTATAAAAGACCATGGTAGCGTTGAAGTCAAGTAAAAATAATAAATCACCAAGAGGCATTGATGTAACGTTACTTAAATTTATGAGTCACCAACTCTCCATTACACAGTTTTAGTACTAATGATGTCGATGTCCTGTTTCCTGCTCTCTCCTCCAGGTGGACAAACACAAGGCGAGTCTGGCAGCCATGATGATCACCTACCCCTCCACCTTTGGTGTGTTTGAGGAGCAGATCAGAGACGTATGTGATCTTATTCATGAGAATGGAGGCCAGGTGTACCTGGATGGTGCCAACATGAATGCCCAGGTGAGAGAAGAAATGGCAGTGTAACGTGACCACAAAATGTTTCTGTTCTGTGATGCAAGTAAAAAAAGAAAGTAAACTATTACTTGTGATAATAGGATAAAGGTTTATAGATGTGTGTTATCACGCTGTAAATAGATAACCTTTGGTCTCTATAATATGCAGGTGATGGTTTTTACGCCAATCCCACCAATCCCTGACGGACTTACAGACCCTGCCCCCTCAACTTTTATAATACAAACTTCCTCCTCTTTTAGTGGTAGTAGCCTGTCACATGGTCAAATTAAGAGATTATTAAAATATTAAAATGATTTTCAATAAAATTACTTTTTTTCATTCGTTTTACATTATTACTTCTCAAAGGCCTAAAACAATGAGTTGTGCAAAAATATTGGCATTTAATAATGACTTTACATATAAATAAGTGTTAATTTGAAATTAAAAATGCTACAAAACAACCAGAACAAATAAAATAATCCAAACTGTCTTTCATGTCAGAAATCATATATAATATATAGTGCTTGTAGTTGTTAACTTTAATAAAACTAAGTTTTTGTCATATTTGCTAACACTGTAATTATATCCTGACAGTAGTGCATGAGACAGATAATCTGTGAACAAAACCACATTCCTCTGCCTCCTCATAGTGCTCTTGGTGGCATTTGCAAGAATCCACCCCTCGTGAACAGAATCAACAAGTCAGAGCTGAGAAGTCTCTTATGCCTTTGCACACTGAGTCCGTTCTTTTCATGCATTTTTTTAATCCGTCATCCGAAAAAAATAGTTATGCACAGAAACCTTGCTCACCGATTCTGATGCGTTTTATCGTTCTAATCAATGCGCAATATGTGACAAAATGAAAAGATACATTTCCTCCTTTGCCTCTCTCCACTGGAGTTACCTATCTTGCTGTCGTCACTCCCTCCCTGTCTGTCATTTGACACCACAGCTGCATGAAGGGGCGGAGCTGTCCTCCCTCTCTGTCTCCACATTCTGTGTGGTCCACATCATCCTCCTCTTCATCATCATCCACCTGAATATTACTATCTGACCTGTTGAACGTGAGCTAATTGAGTCATAAAATTATTCTGTGCACCCCATTCTTCTGTCTTGTTACAGCTGTGTCCCACCGCCACATTTTCTTCACTGATTCTTGGTCAAACGTCTCTAAAGGCTCTGACGGACATGAAAAACGCAGGAAATCGAACCTCTTCTGAACATTTTTATGATGGACGACAGTTTCAGACTCGGTGTGCAAACGTGATTGACACAACGTGACGCAACTGTCAGCTATGTCAGACACGACTCATGAACTTCAGTCACATCATCAAACTAGACAGCGCTGATCAAATATGAATGAAGATTCAGTTACTGCGTTGCTTATGTCTCAACTCAAATGTTTTCAGAAACATATTTTAGTTTACTGTTTAGCTGTAAAATGAGAACGCTTGTGACCTTGCCGCCGTATTGGAAACAGTCGAGCAAAAACCAAGCACCGCCCACAGTCGGAATATAGTGACAGTTTCAGCAAATATGGCAAAAGGTTATACTGTATAAAAGCTATCAGCTGTAGCATTACTTTTAAGGTGTATATAGCATCAGTCATTGAAGTCAAGGTTAGGCAATCTCTTCTCCAGATTCTCAGTCTATATTGTGAGAAATTACCACCAGCCAAATGCTGGCAAATTTTGGTAATCGTACAGTAGGATGTGTGTTTTCCCTGTCCCATTCAGTAATGTGGTTCAAAAATAGAAATGATAACATTGACAGGTACATTTTCCAGCCACTGCGGCCGGCAAATAGTTCATGTCCTTCCTTGGGGTGTTTTCCAGGTGGGTCTGTGTCGTCCTGGAGATTATGGCTCCGACGTGTCTCATCTCAACCTGCACAAAACCTTCTGCATCCCTCATGGTGGAGGAGGACCTGGCATGGGGCCAATTGGAGTGTAAGTCAGAAAATAGATTCATCCAGACTTACTGGATTAACTGGAATTATGTAATGTATGTAGTTATGTATTATGTTTTTTTTTACAAGTTTCACATTTGTTCTCATGACATTGATCTGCTCTTCATCAGGAAGGCCCACCTTGCCCCCTTCCTGCCGAGCCACCCGGTGGTTCCCATGCATTCAGTCAACACCGGCAGCTCGCTGGGCACCATCAGCGCCGCCCCCTGGGGCTCCAGCGCCATCCTGCCAATCTCCTGGGCTTACATCAAGGTCAGCACAGATAAATCACTGATGTTATGCTGTTATCTCCACAAGACGGCATGAAATGTTTCACAAACTTTGATAACAGTGAGCATGAAGGACACAAGGGGTACTTCTCATTATGCTAATTTATGCTTCCTTGCGACTTCTCTTCCCCTGTGACCCTGATATTATTCCCCCTCTGCCATCATGCCATCCCTTAAATTGACTTTGATGAGACGGCAAGTGAGTAGAGGGAGGCTTCTGGTGGAGCTTAGAGCGAGGAAACACAGATGTATCCTCTTACAGAAATATTTTTTATCAAGTGGTGTGACATGTAAATTCTGCACCTCCACATGTGGCTGACGTTGCTCAATACTGACGCTATAAAACCTAGGATTTCTCATTTGGCAGCTTTGGCTCCTCCATCCTCACGTCTCTTCCTCTAATCTCTTTCTCACATACTCGCTAGGAGGAGCTCAGATGGGGAGCAAGGAGACACATCAGCATAATGAAAAGCCCCAGAAGGGAGGGTGGATGTTAAGCTTCCATGACGACGCAGTCCCTTCACCATGGCTTGTGATGACTTTGTCAATCTTGGGATTTATCACAGCCAAAAACCTGTCGACGTTCTATAAGTACGAGCTAGCCTGCAGGTCCTGTATGCTGGTCTGTAACTGGCAGAATTCGTAGTCACTGGGGAGGGACATGACAATTTGAGAAAGCATTTCATTGGACGCAAAATAAAAATACATGTGCAGGATGATTCATCGTTTTTAATTTTTTCCAAGGCTATTTAAAGAAGGCTGGGACATGCTCTCTGACCCTATAGGAGCTGTGGGTTAACTGTAGTTGCGATGTTGGAGGGTTTCTGCAGATGGCGCTAGAAGTGAAGGGATGGTGTTCGCTCAGGTGCTCTTTTGGCTTACGCTCCTTATTCTCCTTGGGTGCAGTTGGCCTGAGAGAACTTTTGGATACACTCAACTGGATGGCAGCCAATATACAATAGAGCGTTTAGATATAAAAGCATATGACCTTTTCAATAATTATTAATTAATAATAATTGTAATTCTCAGACATATCTTTTATTTTTCACACAAAAACCCAAGGTCGACTGCGGAGATCTCAGTAAACCGAATCAATCAGGTCAATGTTCTATGATAGTGTGCCACCTATTGAGCTTTCCAGAGAGTGCAGACCAGATTTCACTGCGCATGTTTTGTACCCTTGTACATGATATGATGCTGTGACTCTTTTTAACCCCCTTGATTGTTTCCAGGAAATGACAGTTTAAAATACTATTATGAATACTGACGAAACTACTTTTTTTTTTTTGTCATCGTTGGGCCAGATACTGACACACAGGTGGTGACCAGTGCAAAGTATGTGATTTAAAAAACAAACAATCTTCTATTTTGATTTCATGAACTGGTTAGATGTTTTCAGGCATTTAAACTTTGTTTCTTCACGTTGTTATCACACAGTCAGTGCTGTTAAGGTCACCTGGCTGACATTTGAGTGTCCTAAAGGAATGTCAGGCTGGTGCTGCATGTAGCTCAGTATGTGTTTATTTGGCGTTTATCAGGAAGAAGTGTTGAGCAAAGCCTGAGCAACAAGATGTGCACACTTTTAACTTTTTTTTTTTTTAAGTCAAAGCAGCCGGCCTTCTTCTGTTGTCAGCACTATTTTTCAAGACTAAAACTGTAAAATCCAGTTGGCTTCACTTGCGTACTTTTTAGATATTTTCGACCTGGTTGAGAAAGTTCATTCTAAATAATTATAATTTTCATCAATATGCTGTGTGGAAGTTTTCTAATTCTCCTGCTAACATCACCTCTGTGTTCTGTGTTTAGATGATGGGATCCAAAGGACTGCGACACGCTACAGAGGTGGCCATCCTCAACGCCAACTACATGGCCAAGAGGCTGGAAGGTCACTATAAGGTCCTCTTCAGAGGCAGGAAAGGTAACAGCTGTGAAAGCATTATATTTCCATCAATGTTGGTGCGCTCTCTAAAAAGCCTCTTTTACATTTAAAAATCTCTCTTTATTGTTCATGTGTTGGTCTGAACAGGTTTTGTAGCCCACGAGTTTATTCTGGATGTGAGGCCTTTCAAGAAGACTGCGAACATTGAGGCTGTCGACGTGGCCAAGAGGCTGCAAGATTACGGTAGGCTGAATTATTATACACATTCCTCCTTAACTTTAATACAAAATGTGCTGTATGTTCTTCGGTATTTGGTCGAAGCACTCAGCAACTATTGGAGTCACGTTCTAGAAATTAGCTAGAACAAGAAGAAGAACAAGCTCGAAGAAGTATTCAATTGATTGATTTTAATTTAATTTTAATATGCTTTTACCTCTCACAATAAAAGCCCAGTTTAAATTTACTTTCAATTTTAGCACCTCACTAAGAGGCATTTCAACAAGATAGCTCACAGAATCATTGCATTAATTTGTCTTAATGTCCAGACAGCATGGAACAGACATGAAAGAAGAATTAAAACTTGCCTGATTAAAACAAATTCCTGAAGAGGACCTCTCTCAGTTTTCTTTTGTAGATGGTTTAGAAGGTCAAGGTTACTTCAAACCGGTTAATGGAAACACAACTAATTCGCATTTCTTTTCTTGCAGCATTTCAAGGGTTTGCTTAAAATTTGCTTGATGATTTAATGGAGACATGGCTATTTAATGTACAGGATCATAAACCCCACAAATTAGAAACTAAAACTTTTATTGGGTCATTTAAAACCAACAGAACTTGTGTCTGATTTTGTTTTCCTTTTGTGCTGGTGTCCAGGTTTCCATGCACCCACCATGTCGTGGCCGGTGGCTGGCACCCTCATGATTGAGCCCACAGAGTCGGAGGACAAGGCTGAGATGGACCGCTTCTGCGACGCCCTGCTTGGTATCCGACAGGAGATCGCAGACATCGAGGAGGGACGGATGGACTCCCGCATCAACCCACTCAAGGTATGCCACTGGTTGGATTTAACTGATTTGTCAGGGGTGAAAAGATGCAGCACAGCAGCTGATACGAAGCTCCTCTTGTGTGTTTGCAGATGGCTCCTCACTCTCTGGCCTGCATCGCATCCTCCAACTGGGACCGACCCTACTCCAGGGAGCATGCTGCTTTCCCCCTGGTGAGTGTATGCATCCCTCTGAGTACATTACACACCCTCTGCTACAACTTTTCTGCAGCGCTAAGGGTGCTTAAGATAGGGAATATGTTGTCTGTATCACCCTCTAGTGGTCAGAAGTAAGAATTGCTATTAATTCCTCCTATCTGTGCAGAGAACAACCAAAAGGTTTCTTTTAAGAAATGCCTGATTTGACGGTTGACGTACAGCAGCCTCTATCGCTGTATCTGTGTCATGTATACTATAGAAATTTAACAAACTAATTGTCATAAATATTTTTTCACCTAACTTGATAGTTACGAAGCCATGTAGACACTTGTATTATTTGCAAATGTCTTGAGATATCCATGAGATTTCTGCCTCCACCCCAGTACAGCAAAGAATTGTTTATGAAGCTCTCAGCACTGAAATATTGAAATTTCAAAAGTACGTAGATTATCCAGAGTAAGATGGACAAAGATGTTCCTGTTGAATGTTTTTAATGTATTTTTGTGGTGGCTAAAATGCTAAATTGATTCACAGAAAATTAATCTGCAACTATCTTGATCATCAATGAATCGTTAGATTTACTTTCAACAGTTCAGATACCAAAGATATTCAAACAAAACAGACGCATTAAATGAATTTATTTTCCCTTTCCAGCCCTTCATTAGGCCTGAGACCAAATTCTGGCCGAGCATCTCCAGGATCGATGACATATATGGCGACCAGCACCTCATGTGCACCTGCCCACCCATGGAGATGTACGAGTCTCCGTACGAGGAGAAGAGAGCCTCCTCATAGGTGCTCCCTGTGGTCCAGTCACAATGTCCGGCCTGAGCTGTAAAACCTCACAGACTTTTAACACCAGTTTGTTCAGTGAGACATGTGAAAGCAGGAGGGTTGAAACACTACCTGGTGAAATCACGTTAGCTGGGAGAGAAGCATTTTTGTCACCATAAAAGTGTGATGTCATATTTCAGATGTAGTTTTATAAAATAGAGACTTTTGCTCACTTGTCTACAGAAAAATTGGCCTCTGTATTAAAGTGTTTGATCAAATTGGGTAAAAACAAATCAATACTGTGCTCTGTAAAAGTTTAGCGCCTGCGCCTACAGCAGGGCAAGAAGTGTGTAAAGTTGGGGCTCAGAAGGCTGCAAAAGAGCTCTCAAGCACTCGTTGATTTCCTAATGTAACAGCCCTGAGCTCCAGACTTAATACGAATGAATTTAAGTCTGTGAGGTGGACACTGGGACGGGGCGCCGTGGCTGATCACACCCTTCTTAGAGGGATCACTTGAACTGTTCTAATGGACCAAAGGTGCAACTGTTGCTTTTCCAAGTCGCAAAATAAGTGCACCCGTCGACACCGAGGCCGCTCCGTAACAAACCTCTGAAATACTGTATTTTAAGTTGAGTACAGTTAATTTCTAGACTCCCACCATCTATAAAATGACCTTGGTGCCTCAATTCTGTTGTGTAAAATAGTTGCCTTGACTTTCCTTTTTTTTCTTTTTCAAATACTATGACAAAACATAGGTGGTAGTTTATTGTAGGCTTTTGTTAATATGCACCTGTTGTATGAAAATGTTTTAATGTGTTTTGTGACATTTGCTTGATCAAGTAGATGAGTACAGTCTTAATTCTAAATTAATTATTTTCTAATCTAAACTGTTTTGTGTGTAGAAAAAAATGTCCGGATTAAACATTTTTGTCTTTAACTTTGTCCATGTTTTGTATGAAGGCAGGTTTTAAATATATTTCAATCAACACTGCCACCCAGTGATAACTTGTGGAACACTACTGACTAAATGGATCACATGAGATGGAAAAGCTTCAACACATCAGTGTTTACCGGATTCCCTCATCTTAACCAGGTCTCCTATCCCAGATTTAATTGGACTTATTGGACAATTTACTCCTTTATTCACAAATTAGATATTTATATTTTAATGACTTGAGCTGAAATTACTCAGTTTAAATGACAGATAGTTAACCAGCACATGACTGAGTGCTCCACAGGAAAAATCAACACATAAAACAATATGTATTCCATCTCACTTTCACATTAAACTCTTGTGTTATCCAACAAAATTTCTAACTTTAGCTAATAGCACTATCATTGATGATGAAATTCCCACAACACTTGCCAGGTGCCACTATTTGCCATGAAACCAGTAACTTTCTACAAACTGTCTTAAAGACACTTGTTTAGAGGAGCACAGATGCAGCGTAACACAGTAGCCGAGTAATATTAAATGTAAGCTATTGAAATATAATGCATGCATAACATGATGCGTTCAAGTGCCACACCAAATGAGGACTTTTATTGGCATGTGATGACTTTTTATGGTGTTCTATATGATGAAAATTTTACAAAATATGCTTTAATAAATGACATTCTATGCTGACTTTTCAATGACATTTTTTTAGTAAACTATACTGACTTTTTTTTACCATAATACTATACACATGCTATACTGAATTTTTCCGACAAACTATAACTTTTTTCAACATACTGTACTATGTAGTTAATCAGTTTTTTTAACAGACCATACTGAATTTTTTCAACGTACTGTACTATGACTTTTATCAGATTTTTCGACATGCTGTACTATGATTTTTTTTAGCAGGTTGTTCAACATGCTATACTACGACGTTTTTATCATTTTTTTCGACATGCTATACTTTTACATTTTTATCAGTTTTTTTTCGACATGCTATATAGTATGATGTTTATATCAGTTTTTTCAACATACCATGACGATTTTATCAGTTTTTTCGACATACTATACTTTTACATTTTTATCAGTTTTTTTCGACATGCTATAATATGACGTTTTTATCAGTTTTTTCAACATGGTATACTATGATTTTTTTCATCAGTCTTTTTTTGACATGCTATACTATGATGTTTTTATCAGTTTTTTTTTGACATGCTATACTTTGACTTTTTTTCGACATACTATACAACATGGTGTACTATGATTTTTTTCAACAGTTTTTTTTTGACATTGTATACTATGACGTTTTCATCAGTTTTTTCGACATGCTATACTATGACGTTTTTATCAGTTTTTTTTCGACATGGTATACTATGACGTTTTCATCAGTTTCTTCGACATGCTATACTATGACGTTTTTATCAGGGTTTTTTTCGACATGCTATACTATGACGTTTTTATCAGTTTTTTTTCGTCATGGTATACTATGACGTTTTCATCAGTTTCTTCGACATGCTATACTGTGATGTTTTT